TATAGATTATTAGCGTCATAAACCACATCGCCGCGTGATCCGCAGACACGGAGGCGCGCATGTTTATGTTAAGACGTTTGTAACCGATTCATGAATGTACTCGGGGAATAAGTATAACCCGTAAAAACTAAGTTTTTCACTATAAATCCTTTATATGCGTGGCGGCTCGAGTCCTCTCGTCCTCTGGCTTGAGATGGCTGCCACCTATGGGTCAGATGATTGCATTGCACCATTAAGCAATTGGTAATTAAATATAATGTTTTTGTCCTAAAAAGTGTAAAACTTTGGAATTTTTTTCACCAACATTAATTGTCACGCACAACGAGTCTGTGTGGGTTAAAAAACGACCGAAAGATTGGCACGGTCCTAAGCAAGCAAGCGAACTTAATATAAAGGATTTAAACATCCACGGGTGCGAGGGAGTCAACGGATAATTGTATGATGCAGGAGGACACACCGCTACATTCCGCATTGTCCAGTGGGGCGTCTTTACCTGGCTGTTGATCAAAGGCATACACAACAGCAAGGCCGTGATTATAATATACATTGGGGGGGGACACATCCCCCCCCCCAATATTTAAATATGCTCAAAATGTCCCCCCCCCCCAATATATTGCTATAAAATAGATTTCTGTTTATATGATTGTGGTTTTGGTTGTACTTTATTAATCCCTAATCTCTGCCATTACATACAAGTGAAACAAGAAAAGGTACAACAGAAAAAACAGAGCAATGTAATGCAATACGCTATTAGACATTATTGTAAAAAATAAATAAAAAGTCGACCCTATTAGTGAATTTTTTTAATATTTAGGCAGGAAATGGCAGGTAATTTTTTTCAAATTTAGATTTTTTTTCTGGGGGGGGGAGGACCCCAGACCCCCTGGAAGATTTGGTCCCCCCCCCCCCCCCCATGTTGACTCCATGGGTACGGCCTTGCACAACAGCAACAAAAGCAGCAACAGCAGCAATAGTAGGGTGCGAAAGAAGTTCAACATACATAAAACGCTCTATCCAACACAGAAGGGACAGATGGACATTAGTCCCCACACTCTGCTTGCACCGCATTCACCTGGCAGGGTACGGCACCTCCTCGAAGCCCAAGGGGAAGGGAAATTGGTCAACAATTGAGTGATCAACTAACCCTTGCTGCTGCCTCCACAGAGCTGAATTACAGGCGCGTGTGTACTCTGTGCATTTTGTGCGTGTGTATGTAATGTATATACATTATAGATATAGGTAGTGGGCATTTCATGCTCTCTATGGGATACGTCACGGTAGGCGAATTACATGGTTCACTGAGAATGCTTTATACTTGTAAGCGGTTTAACACGAGACTCAAAAGAAACGTAGGGGTTTTAGACAGCCCCAGGTGAAACCAATCAACCGTCGTGTCCTCCATTTTGGGACTAAATGTCTAAATGTAACGAAACATTGTTGGATTTGCCTCCGGTTAAAAACCATACAGAGGCCGACCAACTTGATTTCTCGAGCCCCTCTAAGCCGTCGCTATGCCTCGGCATGCCACAGCCCCCAAATGACTCCATCCCTCCGTCTCCACGACGTTCGCACTCTCCGTTGTTGTCGCAAGTCAGGATTGAAAACTCACCTTCTTTTAGAACTGTTTGTTGCGTGTGTTTAGTTTGTTGTCATTTTCCGCGCACCTCCGATGAGCCCGGTTGGCTACGTACGGTGCGAAAGAAGTCCAACACACGTACGTACTCGCTCGTCTGGCTGCTAATCTGTCACCAGTCTCGCCCATCGCTCACTGCCGAGCCCTTTCTAGCGGCGTGTGTCCGGCAAAGCACAACTTTATCCTTCTCAAGGGTCACCAATCGCGTTCTCTTGCTTCACGCATCCTCTCTCTTTCTGTCACTCACTGCAATTCCGAGCATTCACCTCTCCGCGCTGCTTTGCGTATCGTTGCCAGCTTGTGTTCCCCGTTCCCCCGTGTCAGAGTTCCGTGCGTCCGATCCACGTTATGCACCACGGATTGCTCCACGCACGTTCCTCTTCACGCAGGTAAATGACCAAGGGCCATTTGGATATTTATAACAACATTCGCGGGCCATGCAAAATTATCAACTTAAAAATTGGCCTGTTATATTTGGTCAAACATTTAATTAACTCGCCCCTAATGTGATGGCTGGAACTGCTTCTCTTTGGCGAGGCGTGTGATGTTATCTGGTATTGATGATGTTGCTACTCGCAACTGCTTTTCCAGGTTTGCTCCTAGATTTATTGAATTTCGAGTCCCGCCTGCGGTTGCCTTGGCAGGGCCACACCAAATGATTTCGTGGGCCATATACGGGCCCGCGGGCCGGACGTTCCCCACCCCTTGCCTGAGTTTACGCAGTTATTACGACGTTTTTAACAAAATCCCCTGCAGCACCATATATTATCAACAGAGGTCGCTATTGCTCTATGCCCCGCGACCCAAGACGTCGCCTGCCCTGACCCATCAATCAAAGCGTATGCCAGATCCCTCCTTCTGAGACTCTGGAAGATGGAGCTGTCGAATGTTTAGACAACTGAATTGTACAATGAGCGGTTTATGAAAGCAACGTGTCCAAACATTATTTTGTTTACCAATGTTTATGCGGTTTTGTCGATTTCTCCTTGCCAATTCGTTACAATTACAGCACACCGATGCGTTGGAGAGCAAAGCCACAACATTTACAATCTGTCTTTGCTTAGATTTTTCCGTTTGCGTCAGTGCCCTCTAATTCGATTCTTGCTTTTGACACGTTTGGTGACGGGTCACTTACGATTATTACACCCTCAGGAATAATCAGGGCGGCCCGCTCGATTCGAACAGCGAACCTCTGCGATAAAGCGGCGAGCGCCTAGCCATTGGGCCGTGTCACAACTCTGGTGGTAGCTGTTGAGTCTCCTCGCCTGCTCAAGCAAATCAACCTGAGGCCTGGTTAATGGTGAGATGATATTTGTTTTAAATCAAACCACTCTTGGAACTTGTCCCTGCCAAAAAACCAAGACTTTTTGGCAGCTTTGCCCAAGCGAAGTTCTCGTTTAACCACGGTAATTCCACACACACACACAACACAGCACAGGATAATCCCGCAGTGGTGACTGAAATCAATTTCAGTTAGTTACTCAAGAGGACAAAGCGAGCGTAAAAAGTCACTGGTGGAATCGGGTAAGACGGTCCCCTCAATTCGTGCCGTGAGGGGGTCACCTTGGGACGATGTGAACGCGATTAGTCCAGCACCGTACGAGTGCAGGGCTGGTTAGTTGTTGAGACACTGCTCTTGCGGCTTGGTCAGAGCGTATACACGTGGGCTTAATATTACAAAACAATCATTCACGTTTGTAAGGTGACGCATTTCATCCGTAGATCCCAATGCGCCCCAGTGTATGGAAAGCAGGAAACAACCATAACCTGTAGGACACACGGACAGGACTCGGGGTGAGTGAAGGCCAATTTAAAGAGGTGCGTTTTCAGGACAGACTTAAATATCTCTCACGACTGTCTTGTTAGCAAAGGCAGAGCATGTTCCAGTCTGGGAGCTGCACAGGGGAAACAGCCCGTTCACTCACTCACCTGATCACTCACCCACTCACCCGATGACTCACCCACTCACCCACTCGCCTGATCACTCACCCACTCACCCGATCACTCACTCACCCGATCACTCACCCACTCACCCGATCACTCACCCACTCACCCGATCACTCACTCACCCGATCACTCACCCACTCACCCGATCACTCACCCACTCACGCGATCACTCACCCACTCACCCAATGACTCACCCACTCACCCAATCACTCACTCACTCACCTACTCACTCACCCGATCACTCGATCACTCACTCACCCGATTACTCACTCACCTGATCACTCACCCACTCACTCGATCACTCACCCACTAACCCGATCTCTTACTCACCCGACCGCTCACCTGATCAGTCACCCATCCACTCGCTCACCCGCGCACTTACTCGCCCACTGTGACACGAACCACCTCGCGAGTGACAGTCAACAGGCTGCACCAGCAGCACTCGTGCAACAAGTCGCGCGGCTAACCGCGACCCACAGAGACTCGTCGGTACAGCCCCCCGGGGGCTTCATCATTCACGCCACTCACGCTGGTGGTGAACTCAAACCTGTCAACCCACACGGTTTATGGGGCCGTCCATAAATGACGTCAGACATTTGTGACGATGTGTGGCGAGGGGGGGGGTGAGAAATGTGACTTCACATCAAAATGCACAACTTTTAATAAAGATAGACGACACGTTCTACTTGATTAAATATACTTTTTAATAAATGTTTTCTCTTACAACATCAGAGTGCAGTGCCACATTAAATACGCACTACAATGACAACAATAGTTTAAAGCGATTTGAAGCATGATTTATTTACAAAAATATGGTTTTGGGGGGGGGGGGGCAGAGCTTTGTGACGTCATATTTGAGGGGGGGGGGTCTGACTTTTTGTGACGCCACGTGACGATGGGGGGGGGGGGGGGCAAAAATCGTCCAAAATCGCGTGACGTCATTTATGGACGGCCCCTTACCCGTAGTCTTGCACAAGGAAATTGAGTTTTCAGGTCCATACGGCGTAGAGCCGTTTCAATAGGTGCAAAAAAGTTTATATTTGTTTGTGATTCTCCCCTGTGATGGCACTTTGTAGGATGAACGTTGAGATGAATAAGGGGCACGGCGTGACCAATGAGGTCTTAATTGAGGTCTGAATTGGTCTGCAATGAGGTCGGGCACTGATAAGGGGTTGACATGTATGTGAACTTCCAGCTCCAATTTGCGTGTCAGATCGACGCAAAGTTGCCCATTGCATCGCGCAGAGTCATCGTTCGCGTCGTGCTGGAGACCATACCGACAAATACCTAAAGTTAACAACAAATACTTAAAGTTCCCGTCTGTTATTTGACCACACGCAACGCCAATATTTACATCCACGGATTTACGAAGCGCGTTTCTCGGGACGCGTTGTCCGCGCGAGGCTTCCGTGGATCACGTGGTCCCCGGTAAATTAGGAGGGGGGGGGGAGGGAAGATGGCGTCTGGCGGTGACACTCGGAGCGGAGACCCGGTGAGCGGCTCCCCCTGCCCCCTCGTCTCCCCCTGCCCCCTGCTGGCCCCTGCTGCCCCTGCCCCCTGCTCCCCCTGCCCCCTTGCTCCCCCTGCCCCCTGCTCCCCTTGCTCCCCCTGCCCCTTGCTCCCCCTGCCCCTTGTTCCCCCTGCCCCTTGCTCCCCCTGCCCCCTGCCCCTTGCTCCCCCTGCCCCTTGCTCCCCCTGCCCCTTGCTCCCCCTGCCCCTTGCTCCCCCTGCCCCCTGCTCCCCCTGCCCCTTGCTCCCCCTGCCCCCTTGCTCCCCCTGCCCCCTGCTCCCCCTGCCCCCTTGCTCCCCCTGCCCCTTGTTCCCCCTGCCCCCCTGCCCTCTGCTCCCCCTGCTCCCTGCCCCCTGCCCCTGCTCCCCCGTGCTGGCTGAATCTTCTACTGCTGCCCCTTTCTAGCCATGCTCTCTTTAGTCTCCTGGTCAGCTGCCTCTCGCTGCCCCTGTTCCTTACGCCCTCTGCTCCTCACGGCTCCTCTCGTCCTTTCTGGCTGCTTCTCCCTCCTCATCCTCTCATCCCGGCGTTCCCACCCCCTCCCCCCCCATTGCTAACCCCCCCCCCCATTGCTACCCCCCCATTGCTACCCCCCCCCCCCATTGCTACCCCCCCCCCCCCATTGCTACCCCCCCCCCCCCATTGCTACCCCCCCCCATTGCTACCCCCCCCATTGCTACCCCCCCCCATTGCTACCCCCTTCCCCCATTGCTACCCCCCCCATTGCTACCCCCCCCCCCATTGCTACCCCCCTTCCCCCATTGCTACCCCCCCCCCATTGCTACCCCCCCCATTGCTACCCCCTTCCCCCATTGCTACCCCCTTCCCCCATTGCTACCCCCCCCATTGCTACCCCCCCCCATTGCTACCCCCCCCCATTGCTACCCCCCTTCCCCATTGCTACCCCCCCCCCCATTGCTACCCCCCCCCCCATTGCTACCCCCCCCCCCCATTGCTACCCCCCCCCCCATTGCTACCCCCTTCCCCCATTGCTACCACCCCCCCATTGCTACCCCCCCCCATTGCTACCCCCTTCCCCCATTGCTACCCCCCCCCCCATTGCTACCCCCTTCCCCCATTGCTACCCCCCCCATTGCTACCCCCCATTGCTACCCCCCCCCCCATTGCTACCCCCCCCCCCATTGCTACCCCCCCCCATTGCTACCCCCTTCCCCCATTGCTACCCCCCCCATTGCTACCCCCTTCCCCCATTGCTACCCCCCCCATTGCTACCCCCCCCCCCCATTGCTACCCCCCCCCCCATTGCTACCCCCTTCCCCCATTGCTACCCCCCCCCCTCATTGCTACCCCCCCCCCCCATTGCTACCCGTCCCCTGCTGTTCCCCCACTCTCCAACTTCCCTCATAACAATTCTCCATACCCCCCCCGTTACCCCCCCCCCGTTACCCCCCCCCCCCCCCGTTACCCCCCCCCCGTTACCCCCCCCTCGTTACCCCCCCCCCGTTACCCCCCCCCGTTACCCCCCCTCCTCACTGTCCCCCCCCCCCCGCTGTTCTCCCACACCCCCCCCGTTACCCCCCCCGTTACCACCCCCCGTTACCCCCCCCCCCCGTTACCCCCCCCCCGTTACCCCCCCCCCCCGTTACCCCCCCCCCCCCCCGTTACCCCCCCCTCCTCACTGTCCCCCCCCCGCTGTTCCCCCACACCCCCCGCTCCCTCGCCCCCACACCGCCCACACCACGTTCCTCCTTCCATCTCCTCCAGTCGCCTTCGTTGCTCCCCACTCTGCCCGCATCTCCCCTTGCTGCGCTCCTCCACCGGGGTGGCAGCAGCAGCAGCAGGTGCTCTCTGATTGCTGCTCTGCTTGGGGCTTCTCGTCCACCGGGGTGGCAGCAGCAGCAGCTGTAACAGTACCACGCGTTAGTTGTTGTACTTGGTGCCGGCTCGTGTGCCCATTCACTGCCGGACGAGGGCCTCGGTGGCGTAATTAGACCATACTTCTTCTTGGTTCTTTCGGTAAAGTCACGTAGAATGGAAATAATGAGGACGGCTGCTTGCGTTGTGGCCGAAACGTCGTGAGAATTATTTTATTGTTTTATTTTGATTATTTTATTATTTCCATTCTACGTGACTTTACCGAAAGAACCAAGAAGATGAATCCCTGCAGTCACGAAAGCTTTAAATCGAATTAGACCATACTTCACCACGCTGGTTAATGCCAGTTGGCGACGGCGTGGAGCGTAGAAGTGGGAGCGTTGAGAAGCAGCAAACACAACAATGGACGTTCCTGCACTGCCCTCTGCTGCCCATCACAAACATAAACTGACGGGAAATTCCCTGACCGTTGTGAACGCGCGTTTGTGAGGCGCCGTGTGCGTTTTAACCGGGTGGTCTTCTGGACAGGCCGAGGAGGAGGACGGCTCTCGGAATACGGGGGTTGCCCCAGCACCACCACCAGCTACAACAGCTGCACCGCCTTCGGACAGTGGTGTAGCTGGGACTACACCACCACCTCCTCCTGTTCCACTGCCACCCGTCTGCCCTTTACCACCGGAATCTGAACCCCGGCAGATTGAGACCCAGGAAAGAGCGGCCCCCGATTCGGCAAAGCCACAGGCAGCAGTACCAGCAGCAGCAGCAGCAGCAAGGAATGTAGCACAAGCGGAAGCACGGGTGACCAGTGCGGCAGTGCCACAGACGGTGGCACTCGGAACGACAGCGGCAGAGACGGCAGAAGCAGCCGTGAAAGCAGTCCCAGCGGCGGCAGCGGTGCCAACGGTGGTGGTGGCGGAGGTATCTGACGAGGTGGTATTGCCAGCAATCAAGGCTGCAGCGTTAGCATCGGCAGCGCCGTCCGCAGTATCGTCCGCAGCATCGTCATCCGTGGCGCCGCCATCACCAGTGCCTGCAACTGCATCGACGTTGACAGGGGTGCCATCGACATGGACAGCGGCATTGACAGCAGCAGCAACATCGTCAACAGCAGCAGCAGCAACATCGTCAACAGCAGCAGCAGCAACATCGTCAACAGCAGCAGCAACTTCGTCGACAGCAGCAGCAACATCGTCAACAGCAGCAGCAGCAACATTGTCAACAGCAGCAGCAGCAACATCCTCAACAGCAGCAGCAACTTCGTCAACAGCAGCAGCAGCAACATCATCAACAGCAGCAGCAGCAGCAGCAACATCGTCGACAGCAACAGCATCGTCGACAGCAGCAGCAACATCGTCGACAGCAACATCATCATCATCCACAGCAGCAGCAACATCGCCAGCAGCAGCAACATCTTCAACAGCAGCATCGCCAGCGGAAACATCATTGACAGTAACATCATGGACAGAAACATCATTGGCAGCAGCGACATCGACAGCTTCATCAACAGATATCCTACATACAACGACAGCAGCAGCAGTTCCAGCATCATCATTGGCAGCAGCCCCATGCACATCGACAACAGCTTCAGCAGTATCATCAACAGCAGCCCCAGCTACAGTAGCATCATCAACAGCAGCCCCAGCTACAGCAGCTTCATCGATAGCATCATTGACAGTAGCGTCAATGGCAGCAGCACCATCCACGTTGACAGCGGCATCAACAGCAGCAGTAGCAGCATCATCAACAGCAGTATCCTCTACAGCAGCATCGCCGACATCGACAGACGCATCACCGACATCGACACAGCCAATGATAGCAACAGCAGCACGAATAACATCGACAACAGCACCTTTGGCAGCAGCGTCAGTGACTGAAAAGCGAGCATCGGGAAGCGGAGAGGCAGCATTGCGCACGGTGATAGTGGCGGTGGGGGCTGTTGTATCTAGAGACGAAGGGACCAAGAACGAGGGGACCTCTGCGGTCATAACACGGGGCGTGGGGGAGCACATGGCTAAAGTGACGAGCACGGGGGATGTGAGAGATGACGGGTCTGTGCCTCAGGACGTGGAGATGGAGGAGGTGAACGAGGTGGATCCACGCACGTCCATGACTAGTCAGGAGTCTGTGATTCAGAAAAGTGGAGCGTGCGTGTCTGAGAGCCAGGAGAGTGGAGGCCACGGGGCTGTGACACAGGAAGAAGAAATGGAGACGTCAGAGACACAGGAGGCTCGATCTCAAGTTGGCGGAGCATTGGAAATTGGTGCGGAGAAGACCACAGCACCGGAGGCTGGAGCTCAACAGGTTTTGACACCGGAGGATGGAGCACAGAAGGCCGACACGGAGGAGGCTGGAGCTCAGAAGGCCGACACCCAAGAGGCTGGAGCTAAGAATGCCGACATGCAGGAGGTTGGAGCTAAGAAGGCCGACATGCAGGAGGTTGGAGCTAAGAAGGCCGACATGCAGGAGGTTGGAGCTAAGAAGGCCGACACGCAGGAGGCTGGAGCTAAGAAGGCCGACACGCAAGAGGTTGGATCACAGAAGGCCGACACGCAAGAGGCTGGAGCTAAGAAGGCCGACACGCAGGAGGCTGGAGCACTGAAGGCCGACACGCAAGAGGTTGGATCACAGAAGGCCAACACGCAAGAGGCTGGAGCTAAGAAGGCCGACATGCAGGAGGTTGGAGCACAGAAGGCCGACACGCATGAGGCTGGAGCACAGAAGGCCGACACGCAAGAGGCTGGAGCACAGAAGGCCGACACGCAGGAGGTTGGAGCACAGAAGGCCGACACGCAGGAGGCTGGAGCTAAGAAGGCCGACATGCAGGAGGTTGGAGCACAGAAGGCCGACATGCAGAAGGCTGGAGCACAGAAGGCCGACATGCAGGAGGTTGGATCACAGAAGGCCGACACGCAGGAGGTTGGAGCACAGAAGGCCGACACGCAGGAGGTTGGAGCACAGAAGGCCGACATGCAGGAGGTTGGATCACAGAAGGCCGACATGCAGGAGGTTGGATCACAGAAGGCCGATACGCAGGAGGTTGGAGCTCAGGAGGCCGACACGCAGGAGACTGGAGCCCAGAAGGCCGACACCCAAGAGGCTGGAGCTCAGAAGGCCGACACGCAAGAGGCTGGAGCTAAGAAGGCCGACACGCAAGAGGCTGGAGCTCAAGAGACTGGGACCCGTCCGACCAAACGGCGGCGGTTGGGGTCAGGTGACAGCTCTCGGAGCAGCGACACCATCCAGGACGTCAGGTGAGAGCTCACCGGTGGCGTTCAATTAATCCGTCATTGCACATTTACAACAAAAGTCCAGTCCTGCGTGTGTTTTCGTGTCCGTTGATACGCACCGTGTGGTAGCTTGCCGACTGCCGATCAATAAAATTGGAACGCGCCGTGCGTTTTGAACATTCGCTTGCGGTTGATGTTACATTTTTACAAAAATGCAACCAGGTTCCATTGTCAATCCCATCACGTGTGGAATCATTTGATTACGGCAACTATTATCGAAAAATCAATAATAGATGTATAACCCGTTTGTTTTTTTGCATTGAACAGGATCCCATGGTTGAGATGGAATGTTCTTGCTCGTAACACTTGGTAACCCAGCAGCAGCCTGACTGCTGATGAGACCCAGGTCAAAACCGGTCCACAGTTTGCTCGCATAAACAAATGCTGTTGCTGGATAATTATGGTGTGGAAAGTCGATAGGCGGATGGACATAACATTTTCTAGTTAAATGTTAAGATACAGGACGGAGTTCTGCTTGGACCATATTTTCTTCCAGGTACGGCTTAGAGCATTGCACAGTTCTGTAAGTTGTTAAATCTACCGTATTCTCTAAAAAACTGGTTGTCATCAGATGACATTTTAAAAATGTAATCCTCATCAAGCCCCATGGTGTAAACAAGTGCACTCTCCTCTCTATCCAATCCGTCTCTCTACTACCGGCCTCTCTGTTTATGTGCTATGAAGAAGGGCCATATGAAAGATGTTTCTTTTTAAGGCAACACACAGTATTATTGGCAAATGCGTTGAGGTTTTTTTTCCATGTAATCCGCTCCGTAGCTCGGTGTGCAGTGGAGCATTCTTCCTGGCCGAGATGCTCGTGGAGTACAAGTGGCCTTCGGACGACGGGGGCGAGTACTACATGCTCCAAGAGCAGATCAGCGAGTATCTGGGGGTCACCTCCTTCAAGCGCAAATACCCAGGTGTGCCAGCAATTACTCTGACCCAACCCCCCACCTCACTGGTAGTTGTAAAAAATCCTCAAGAAATCACCATCATTTGGGCGGCAGGGTGGTGCTGTTGTGGTTACACCTGTGCCTCACAGCAAGAAACACCTTGGCTCAATTCCTGACTCGGATGCATTTCTCTGTGTAGTTTGTATGTTGCCCCCCCTATTCTGCACGAGTCTCCTCAGGGTTCTCCGATTGGCCAGCCATGCTGGCCTTCATAGGTGTTTGCTCACAGCACTTGTATGTATGTATGTTGAACATCTTTGGGACTGTACGTAGCCAACCATGCTAATGGTACAGTCTGTTGAAGGCAATACTGGGGATGTTTGTCTTTGTGTGTGACGCCCAGACCTGGAGCGACACGACCTGTCGCACAAGGAGAAGCTCCACCTGCGCGAGCTCAACGTCATCACGGAGACGCAGTGCACGCTGGGTAAGCGGGGCCCACCTTTTGCCCCCGCGCTGTGCGAATTTGCACTCGTTGACTGCGCTAGGTCGCATCGAGAGGTCAACAAACGGGCCGGGTCGTTAACCTCGGAACAGAGAAACACGGGAGAGAGGAGAGAGAGAGGACAGTACCGTGGCACAGCGTGGAACGAAGCAAACGGGCCCAGCACCAACAATGACTCCCTGGGGTAGTCGAGCAGCACCAATGAGCCCCCCCAGGGCATCCTCAAATGGCAGGGCCTCTTCACCAACATCGGCGTTTGTATGGTGGGCCGTCACGTAGTCCGGCGGTAGCGCATTTTACTATTTTTCCGCGGTTCGAGCTCCGCAGCCAACCTGGTTTATGCTGCCGGGTGCATTAACGATAAAATACTGCTTCCTTAAAGATCTCGAAACGTTATTCCAAATGGAGCAGGCCGTGGTGTGCCGGCGGCATGGTCATCCCAACTTTGCCCCGTACTGGCAGACGGATGCTCACTTGCAGGCTGGCGGCGGGTTCGTCTTGTGCCTTCACAGGGCTCCCAGGAGATGTTACTGCACAGGAGGCGCGGTGTAATTATTAAAATGATGCCGATGGGTTTTGTGCGCTCACGCGTGTTAGGGCTGACGGCACTGCGCAGCGACGAGGTCATCGACCTACTGATGAAGGAGTACCCCACCAAGTACGCCGAGTACGTGACCGTGCTACAGGACCGCGAGCGGCAGAGGATCACCGACCGCTACAAGGAGTACTCGGTGAGTGCTTGGCTGAAGTTTTAATGAAAAATAAATATGTTTAGTGTTGATCATGAATAAACAAATTATGTGTGCTTGCTTTAAAATACTGATGTATCGGTGGGTGAGTGGGTGGATGGGTGGGTGAGTGAACAAGTGAGTAAGTGGATGAGCAAGTGCTTGTACAAGTGGGTGAGTAAACTTGATTTGAAGCTTTCGTGACTGCAGGAATTACTCTTTGTACAAGTCACGTAGAAAGAAAATAAATTAAATAATAGAATACAACGTTTTGATTGCAACACAAGCAACCGTCATCAGGTAGAACGTAACTTTTCCGAAATAACCAAAGAGTAAGTGGGTGAGTGTATGAGTGAAGGGGAGGGTGATTGAGTGAGTGCATAAATTTGTGAGTAGCAAATGAACACACGAGTGAATACATGAGTATGAACGAGTGAACACCTGAGTGTATTTGTGTGAGTGAGTGAATGTTTTTGCTGACCACAGCAACAGCAGAGCAACCAGAAGGTGGAGCCGGGCAAGGCTCCCGAATACATGAAGAAAGCCGTGCGCAAGGCGGCCGAGTACAACCTCAACCTGAACCGCGAGCGCCTGGAGGAGCGGCGCGCCTACTTCGACCTGCAGACGCACGTGGGGACACGCGGACGCACCGGGGGGACGCACGCAGACACACGGAGACGCACAGACGCGTGGACATAGGGCTTTCGCACAGACGCTATGACACGCTCGCTCATGGACAGAGATGCCCATGAACACACGGACGCGCGAACTCATGGATGCACTTGCACGTCCAAAGCTGTGGATACGCGGTGATGTGGACATATTGGCACGTGGTTGACACACGGGCACACGGGTACATTTACAGACATGTACACACAGCCAGGTGGACACACAGGCACTTGGACATGCACACACACACGGGGGCACACTTACACATTGACAGACATTGGCACACGGGCAAACGGATATATACTGGAATTTGAGTACAAATGCTAAGATCCCCCATATAGCCTTAAGTGCTGTTAGCGAGACACACGGACAAATATGTGTGGTCAGGTACATACAAACACAAACACACGAGCAGACAGACTTGCGAGCACAATACTACAAACACACAGACTACAATTACACATGGGCATACTCACACAGGGACACACGGATCTTCTGCTGTCCCATGTCAATACAGACCACACAGGCACATGGACGGGCAGTTGCACATGGACACTTGGACACAGAGTCACGCCTGTCTCTGTCTCCCCCTGTGGCATCCAACAGACAATCCAGTTCCCGTATGGCAAGTACAAGGCCATCGCGCCCGACAAGACCAAGGTCGGGTCCTACCCTGTCGCCCTCATTCCGGGCCAGTTCCAGGAGTACTACAAGAGGTGAGCGTGGACCACATGTACGTCGCTGTCGTGCAAGCGGTCGGGGTTGTGTGTGCGTGTGCGTTTGCATAAATATGGTGGAGAGCGGTGGGGCACTGGTTAGCTCACTGCGGCGCTACGAACCCAGCGACCCGAGTTCGATTCCCCGCTCATGGCCAGTAAAAGTGGAGAATATTTTAACGGGTCTAGGACCTCCCGCTTAAACAAGTATCTCGTGTGGTATGTAAAGGAAAGAACTTCGAAAGACAAAGGCACCTAAGCGTAGTGTTGGCCACACCACCCTCCTTGCATTGTGCTGGCTCTCATGGGTGCTTGCAAATAGTACTTTCCCCAAAAGTATCTTAAAGGCTATATGGGGGGGGGGTCTTTGTCTTTATATGTGTGTATGCGGAGCGGTGGCATGGTGGCCAGTGCTTTGAGCAACTGTTGCAAAGCTCGGACAACGGTGTTGGAGACTTGAAAGCGTTCAGAAGTGCCTCACGCTGTCTTATCCTCGCCCCCCTCGGTGTGCCGTGCTATTGGTGTGTCGTGCTATTGGTGTGCCGTGCTATTGGTGTGCCGTGCTATTGGTGTGCCGTGCTATTGGTGTGCCGTGCTGGCACTAATAGGCGCTCACAAACAGCATTTGCCCCGGCGTTGCACGCGGCTAAGCGGGGGGGGGGGTGACTGTTGTCATCATTGTCGTCACTGCCGTTGTTGTGGTTGTGCGTGGGCACAGGTACTAAGCGGGGGGGATGACTGTTGTCATCATTGTTGTCACTGCCGTTGTTGTTGTTGTGCGTGGGCACAGGTACTAAGCGGGGGGGATGACTGTTGTCATCATTGTTGTCACTGCCGTTGTTGTGGTTGTGCGTGGGCACAGGTACTAAGCGGGGGGGATGACTGTTGTCATCATTGTCGTCACTGCCGTTGTTGTTGTTGCGCGTGGGCACAGGTACTAAGCGGGGGGGGGGGGGAGATGACTGTTGTCATCATTGTCGTCACTGCCGTTGTTGTTGGTGCGCGTGGGCACAGGTACTAAGCGGGGGGATGACTGTTGTCATCATTGTCGTCACTGCCGTCGTTGTTGTTGTTGTGCGTGGGCACAGGTACTCGGCGAGCGAGCTGCGCTACCTCCCGGTGAACACGGCGCTCTACGCGCCGCCGCTCGACCCCGAGCTGCCGGCGCCCGACAGCGACGGCGCCGACTCGGACGATGACGGAGACGGAGACACGCAGGGGCGACGCGGGGACGACTCGACCTCCGTAACGACCAGCACCCCGGCACCGCATCGCTATGCGCACCGTCACACGTGCACCCTCGCACGTGCACCGTCACACGTGCACCGTCACACACTGGCATGACCGACAAGCGCGCACTGTCACAATGCTGCGTGCCTCCCAATCGTCACCAGTGACATAATGGCCATACTTTCTCACATCATCAACATTATCGGCATCACTATTTCTCACATCATCATCATTGATCACATCGGCATCATCATCATCACCATCAATTGCATCGTCAGTGTCATTGTCCATCATCAGCATTAATCTTGAAGTGAATGGTGAACCCAGCTCCCCAGGACACTGGCCCACAACCATTGCGTTGGTCGGAGCACTAACCTCCCCACAATGCAGTGAAACGTCACAATTTGGGGTTGCACAAACCACTCGCATAGAACACACGAATTGGATCCCATCGCTTCTTAAACGCATCACCGGACCCACGTGTCGCGACGCTCTGAGTGACAACAAATACGTCGTGGACTAAATACCCTTTTATTACAAATATCTGATTGCAGTCGGCGTTGTATGTATGTTGAACCTTCGCACCATACGTAGACAACCGTGCTAATCACAGGTGCCGATGAATCTTGCCACGCCTGGTTCAGAGGTAAATAGCCCCACCTGCCGTTGTGTGCGGCCGTGCGAACTGCGACGTCCGCCTGTGATCTGCATAGCGAGCCGTGGCGTTGGTCCCGAGCCGTGGGGCGTGTGTCGGGAAGTTTGATCGTTCGTCGCCGTCCCCGCATCTCATTCCCTCCCGACCCTAGGACAGCGGCACGAGCAGCAGCTCGGATGGCGAGAGCCCCAGCGACGCTGCCGAGGAGCCGGCGCCCCCCCCGCGCCCCGGGCCCGGCCGTCCCCCCAAGGACCCGGCGGCGGCAGCGGCGCGCCTGGCGCAGCACAAGGCGGTGCCCGGGTACAAGGTAGCGGAGAAGGCGGCGGCCAGCAGCGCACAGCCGCACGCGGCGCACGCACCGCAGCACACAGAGCCAGGCGCCACCACCGCAACCACCACCGCAACCGCCACCGCAACCACCACCGCCGCCGCAACCTCCACGGCAACCACCGCGCCGTTCCCGCTCGCGCCGCCCACCGCCCCCCTCCCCGGGCCGCCCCCCAAGCCACTTCGGGCCGCTCTGACGCCGGCCAAACCGCCCCCGGTTCTAGCGCCACCCTGCACGTGCAAGCACGGACTGGCGCTCGCCGGCCCGGCCCCTGCCCCCCCTCCCCCGGCGTTGCCCGTGCCGGCGCATGCGGTGGAGGTTGCGGCTCACGCCTCGCCCAGGCCGCCGGCGCCGGTGCAAGCTGTCGCGCCGGTCATCGTCCCGGCGATGACCGTTCCCACGGCAGCTCCGGTGCAGGCTTGCATGCCGAATGCCGGCGCCCGTCCCTAGTGCCGCTGCTGCCCTCTTCTCCCTTCTACCCCTCGCTGGGAAACGTAAATAACAAACGGCTCTTGCCTTGTAGCTATACGCACCAAAGCCGCGGTGTCCCAGGCTGTCAGAGCTGCAGGTCTTGAGGCTTCGTTGATGACAACACAGCCTGTACAGTCGTGGTCGGGTGCAGCGTTTGAATGACATCACTACCGGTCCTGCTCGTTCCCGGTCGCGACGAGTGGGCTTTGGCCACTTCCTCTCAGCTTCAGCGTCACACTCCACAGGAGGCGAATTACTCTGTTCATGTCGAACTTTTACAGTTTGAACTATATTCGTGTCACGTTTCTGATCTGTTTCCTTTTTAGAACCTCGATAAAATTCGATATCAGTCACTCGCCCATTTGGTCACGATTGACCGCAGTAGACGTCACTGTCGCAACATCAAGAGCTACGCTGTCATTTTGCTGAAACTTCCAAGACATCATTAAAGAAGCTTCAAAACTTTCTTGGAACAGCCCAGGACACAGAATAGTGTAGCCACAAGATGAGAGCCGTTTGTTTGACGTGCATCTAAACTTAATTTCCATATGCACCTTTCCAATTGCCGTGGTGGTGTCCAGACGCTGCCCCGATGAGTGGGGGTTTACGTGCCCTACCTCCCACGTAGGTCCACAGATCTCACGGAGCTCTCGAGCCATTGTAGTTCACAAAGTTCACATGGCCCACGGAACCCGCGTGGCCCCTGTGGCAGAGATCTCCGTCTCATAGAGACCCAAGTGCACAGCCGCACACAGTGCAACACAGAACCGAGCTGATGACAGCCGGACACGTTTTTATGTGTGTTCAGAACACGAACCGTATAACGATCACTGCTATACCCTCCCTGTACATAGATGTGCATGTATGTATATGTTCTTACTGTTACTAACATAACTGTTGGATGTCATCAGTAACGCAAACGCAGGCACTTTTAAAGAAAATAAGATAATTCCCATGCGCCTCTGTCGTTGAGTCCATCCTCTTCCCAACGTTAGGTCCTCCTCCTGCACTCCCAGCCCTTGCCGACTCCAACCTGAACTCCTAATCTCCTGACCCCCTGAACCTAACCCTTGACCCAAATCCCTAACCTGCGCGCGCACACGGAGGCAAAGACCGCTCGACACTGGGGACTCCTCGGCTGTGCGATCGCTCTCACTGGGGGCCTAAGCCTTCCCGGGATGCTTGAACCGCACGTTGATCTCTCCCTTGGATGCACTTTCTTTTCGTAGCGCTGGAAAAGCACGAGTAAACAGCTTGAGCTTTTTTATTATTATTATCGTGAGCATGAAGTAGAGTTATTTATTTTGTTTACAAGCGATCGTTGACGTGTTCTGGAATTCCGAGTCGTGGTCTGTGTACGCGTTGACGGAAGCACTTTGTTGAGTAGTGGTAGCCGCTCCGGAGGATTTTATCGTAATTTCCACTTTTTTTTACGTTTCTGCACTTTGGTAGCGTAGTCCCCGGCATCGTTTGCTGTCTTTTTAAAAGAATAACCACTGTCGTTTACTGTCTTAACGGAATTGCGGTAGAGAGTAAACATTTTTTATACGCTCCCTTCTCCTTTTGTCGGCTTTTGCTGTGTACTGGGCCTGCGACCGGTTCCCGGCTGTGCTGTGCTGTCCTGTTTCCTTGGAGAATTAAAACGTTCTCATGCTCAGCCCCAGTCTCTGTCTGCTCTCTTCTCCGAGCGGCGGCGTTCCGGGCGCGTCGCTCCTCGCTCGCAACCTCCCCTCGCCCCCCCTCCTCCCCCAACGCCAGCCGAGCCCCACGCTATAATAATAACAATACCCTTTGCTTACCCATTTACCCAGTAAAGCCTCGTCGAGTCTTGAGTCTCCCTTTTCCGGAGAGTCCGACCACGTGGGGATGTTTGGCCGATCTCGTCAGCCTCTGCCAGGCTCAACTCTTGGCCTCGTTAATGCTCACCTTTGCGAGGTTTCGTTTCAGCGGTGGCCGCTGGCGCTGTTGACGCGCGCGCTCACCCAAGCCACGGCGCCGCCGTGCCTCCGATGGGTGACCGTGGAGGCGCTGCGGCCGTCGTGCAGCGTCAAACCGCGCCTCCGCCGCGTTCTCTCCGCTCATCCCGGCCGCAAACGACGGCACGGCCCGGCTGGAAGAAGTGGCGGCGTTGCTGATTGTGCCGCCGGTTACATGAGCTGTAACGTGCGTGCGCCACCCCGTCACGGGCAATAACGAGCGACTGCCCCCCCCCCCCCCCTTGCGTGCCGCCCGTAGCCCAAAGTGGTGTACAACGCCCTGTGCGGCATCTGCCTGAAGGGGCGCGAGAACAACCGCAAAGGCAAGGCCGAGTCGCTGGTGCATTGCTCGCAGTGTGACAACAGCGGTGAGTGTCGATGCACAATGTGTACACCGCATGCGCCTTTTGTGCGGTAGATCTCGAGGCGCCCTGCCCCAGGGGACTTCCCGGTGGCGGCTGTCCCTGCGAGGTACAGATGGAATGCAGCACCAGCCAAGCCAGTACGGGGGGGGGGGGGGGGGGGCGGCGGCGTGGGCGGTGTTGCTATGTGGTTTCCTAATTCAAGTAATTTGCAAGGGATGTATAACCTGGACATGCACTATAGCTTCTGCTGGCATCTTCAGGAGTTGAATATTCCTGAGGATGCCCTCGGTAAGCAGCGCGGCGCGTGGCGAAAGCTGGAGACGAACAACGCTCAACACGCAGCCTGATGTGTAGAACCTCGCTCGGACGGCCCAGTTCGGTGAGATGACTGCACTTTTTGAACGGCCGCGTTGCGCACAGGTCACCCTTCGTGCCTGGACATGAGCAACGAGCTGGTGGCCGTCATCAAGACGTACCCGTGGCAGTGCATGGAGTGCAAGACGTGCGTGGTGTGCGGGCAGCCGCACCACGAGGAGCAGCTCATGTTCTGCGACAAGTGCGACCGCGGGTACCACACCTTCTGCGTGGGGCTCGACCACATCCCCGTGGGTGAGTGGCGTCCGCCACGTCACGCGCACGCACGTGCGCACGTGCGCATGTACACACGCACGCGGATGCAGGTCCCCCCTGCGCAGGCTGTCTGTAACAAGCACAGTTAGTGAGCGCCCGCACGAAGGCCAGCGCTCCGACGCGTGGGGCTAATTCGGGAGTGGGATTGCCCCGGTAAATCTGCCATGCAACCCGTCGCAAAGGGAGAACGCAGCATGCAGGCTGGAAACATTTGTTAAAACTCAAGACTATTAAACTATTCATTTTATTTAAGCCTTTTTATTTTACCGGATAAGGCCTGCTTGAGCTATATAGCTCTTTTTCAGAAGCGACCTTGCTAACGCATGATAGTCAACGAAGTGGCTTTTTCGTGTTGACATTTATAGCAGCCAAATACTCTGAACGACACGCCAAAAAGTGCTGCTTAGAATCGGCAGGAAGGCACTGCACCGCTGCCATCCATATGCCTTGAGTGGACGAGGCTGAGCGTGCTGTACATGCAATGCGGTGGTCACAGGACATGCACGCAGGCATGATGGGAGCTGTGCCTTGCTGCCGTTTGTGAGCAGCACAACGTATCGTTATTGATGCCCGTTGAGGAGAGCATGGCGTATTGTCGTGTGTGCTGCCACCGCATGCTGTGGAGTTCGTCAAGACACTGCATCGGGAGTGGAAATCCCGCGTTCACTCACAGCTAGTTGCACATCGCTTAAAGGTTGTTGTGTGCGACACTTTGGGTGAGAACCTGTGAACAAAAGTCACCACTTTGGATGTGTTTTTTATTCTCACCTTCGCCTGAGTCTAATCCACCTTCACCATCACCCTTGGCCTCCCTCACCCGCCGTGGTCAGGTCGCTGGAACTGCGCGACGTGCGAGGCGAACCCCGTCAACCCCAAGAAGACGGCAAAGCGTGGCAAGAACGGCAAGGACAGCTGAGTGGCGCGGCAGAAGAGATGGAGAGATCCGCCGTTCCCCTCCCCTCCTCGCTCCCCTCGACTACCCCTCCCCATCCCGCCCACTGCATCCTCCTCCTCCTCGTGCCCGGCAATGCCGCCCCGGGAGACGTAATCAGGTGGTGATGTGCGTAACCTCAGGGAGCCGAGCGGTGAACCGCGAGACTTTGGGGCAACTCTTCTGTGAACCGTCGCTCGTGTCGGTCGCACCGATCCTTAGAAATCGAGGTTGTGGCCCCGAACTTTCTCCGGTTCCGTTAGTGCCAGCACCACGACCGCCGCCGCCGCCACTACCACCCACACCCCTCCCCCGGATGCTGGCGATGACGAGGGTGTGCCGAGCGATCCTCCTTGTGTACAGGTCGCGAGCTGCCGGGTAACGTGGCTCTGGCGTTTGTGACTTTTGTACCAAAAATGAGCCGATGGTGCTACGGACGTCTTGAATTCAGGGATCCCGATCTCCTGTTTTGGTTTTCTAATAAAGGTTTGAACCCAAGTTTTGGATTTTTTTTTCTCACTTAATCTGTTCTTGTTTTGTCTTTCTCTTTAGATTAATTTTATCCCCAATAACATATCATTTTCTTAATTTTCGTTGCTGTTAACTAGCGTGGATAGAGATTGTATTCGTCCAAAACTAAAAATATAGTTCGATATAAAAACAAAAATACGTGGCCAATATTCTACCAACTATAATGGTTAGTACAGTATATTGAAAATATACTTTCATGAAAAAGTAATGCGATGTACTTTTGAGCATTCACACGTCCAAAAATGGTACTTCACTCACCTCTCAGGGCAGTAGATAGAAGTGGGCGAGTGTGGAGAGCGACCGGTGCTGGAGGGGAACGTGAGAGTTGTTGGGGGAGCCACAGAGATGACTGAGTGTGGTGGTGGATGTGTGCCTGTGGTTGTTGGGCTACCAGACAGTCTGGGAATCGGCATCTGTGTTTGGGTGGCAGGAATTTATTTGTACCGACATCTGGTGTAATTGTGTTGAACGTGATCACGGGATACCGATATGACTGGGTTTGGTCAGTGCAAGAGGTGGCAACCTGGTGTGGGAGTGTGGCGAGTGGTGATGGAAGGGCGTGTGGAAAGGGTAAGCGTGAGTCGGGGGGGGGGGGCAGGATATGGGGGAGTCACAGGATAGCGAGCGGTTGCTGGTGGAGGGGAGTGGGGAGACGAGCTTGCAGGGAGTGGGTGTTGGCGCGGAGCAGGACGGGGGTGATGCATGAATTCAGAGACGCGAGGCGAGGGCGCGTAGGCGATGATTTATTCACCCCGAGCCCCGCCACCCCAGACGCTGCGACGCTCCTCTCTGCCAGCCGCGATTTACGATTCAGAGTCCTTTTCGCTCTCGGCCCTGATGAAGGTCACGGCTGCCAAACCCCCCCCCCCAGCCGCATCCCTCCTCCGCCTCCCCCTTCAGTCTGACCAGGCTCCCTGCACCCATGAAGGGAGCGGAGAGGGGGGTTGGTTGCACACCGCTCGAGTTTAGGGCAGTCGATAAAAACCTGCGGTCCACGGGACGGCGGAAAAAGCTACGCGGAACTGCCCATTGCACAAATTTAGATTGTATTCGTGTCTCGTGACAACAACTTTGCTACTCGGCAGGCTGAGCCGCTGTCGTATGTTAATACCCAGGTCACTGCTGCAAATGAGACGTATTATGGTCTCTTGAGTTCCTGCCTGGTGGAACAAAAGACACCATTCCCGATGACCTTGAACTCGATGGTGACAATTTTCTCTGTCCTCTTGTGAATCGTTGGGTTGCCCCAAAGGCTGTTTTGGAGGCTCTGGGTAAAATTCCAGATGAGGCCTCCACTTCACCTTCTAATGAAGCCCCCTCAGATGTGAAGCCCGCGGGCGCACTGCCTCACCTGCCCCCCTAATGTTGCTGTGTGTAATCATAATTGAGTAATTGGCTTAGTACTTTTAGTTTTGGGATTTTTGGATTAGTTTTTTTTTTAATCTGGCGAGTTATCGAGTTTAGCAGCTAAAACAGACACCACGACAGGAGACGACCGTGGATATTTTGCAAAACGCATGTTTTATTTCTTATACACGATCATACACGGACGGGCACATGGATGACACCTCCTCCACCCTCCCTCTGCCCTCGTCCCCCTGCCTAAAAGTGTACACAGCCCGCACCATCTCCGACCAAGCTTATCGGTCAAACAACCCTCCGTGAAAACACGCCCCGCGCCACCAGGGCAGCAGCAACAGCAGCGGTGGTGGCCAACGATCATGGGACATGGGAGGGGGCACGGGTGGAGGAGGGTGGCAGACAGATGTTTAAATTAAGTGGACGACGCTCTGAAGAACCATGCTCCACACTCCAAACAGAGCAGTACCAAGATGCGATGCCAACTTATGAGAGCGCGCACGCACGCACACACACATATATACTGTATTTATATATAATATGTACACACGGCAGAGCTATTTAAAATGAAGGCACGGGGAGGTGGGTGGACGGACGGGAGAGACCATGGTGGGTGGACACTGGAGGTGGAGGACGGGTGCAGGAGGGTGGAGGTCAACTCTGGTGGATGGATAGAATTCCACAAATACTTGATGAAGTGAACCCCGCCGTGGACATCCCTCGCTCGCTCTCCTCCACACCTTCTCCCCCGCTCCGCTCCCCTCATCTCCCACCGCGCTCGCCCACCCCAATGCCCCAACTCCCGGGGGGCAATGCAGCGCGAGGGAGAGAAGCTCGCAGACTGCGCACCCGCGCCCTGCCCGTGCACCGCTTGGGCCCAGCGGTGGATTAGTGTCATGCACACACACACCCAGTGTAGTGTCCGGGCGGTAATTACAATAGAAGGCAACCCGCACCACGTCCCAAAAAAAACAAAAACTCCTCCACCCACCCACCCGATCACCCACCCACCCGATCACCCACCCACTTAGACATGCACTCGCGCGCAGACACACAATTATCCATCCAAGCACGAAGCCACTCACCTACTCACATCCACAACTTACCCACCAACAACTTCCCCATCTCAATCAGCCACTCACCCACTTACCTAATCACTCGCCTCCCCGCCCTCTGGTGAAACTACGCACCTACTCACATCCACAAAAAACCAACCACTCACCCACCCACCTACCTACCCAATTTACCCACACACACCCAAGTCACTCACTCCCCCCCACACATGTACTTTAATCACCCACCTCGCCGCAAAGGCGAGCACCGACTCACAATCCACCTATCCGCCCGCCCAGCCACTCATCCATTTATCAAACCACCCAACCACTGAGGCATCTCTACACTCACTGAACCACCCACCCCGCTCACCCAGCAATGCGAAAAGGTTCTGTACACGAATAAAATTGGAACTCGCGCCGGGTCCCCGTTCGGTCACGGTCGCAGTTCCTGCTGCCTTCGCGCTCCCCTCCGCCCAAGCGTTTGATTTGAGTTTTTTTTATTATTCTCGCGATTATTACTCATTGCCAACAGCAGCACCGATTCTAAGGATGATTTTAAACATGAAAAACTAAATAAAGGCAAAACACAATGTCACCCCCCCACCCCCCGCAAAAAAACCCCAAGAATAAGCGGACGCATTAACACCCAGAACGCAAAGGCAAAACGTGAAACTTAATAACATCTCTATACACAATATTACTATAGTGACAATTATTAAATTATTACTATGTAAGGGACAAATACAAATCGTGGGATGAGAGCGTTGGACAGAGATGTGCGCAGCGCGCCGGGCCCAGAACCGTCTCGGATCGGCGGACAGACACGCGCAATCGCGTATAAAAGTTTCGGGTTCGAGCCACGAAGGCAGTGCAGATTTAAAAACAAACACGGGAGAGAGCTTCTCTTAGCGCGCAGGGGTCACCTGCCGACCCCGACCCTAACCCCTACCCTCCCCCCCACATCTCCCACCCAGCCTCAGCATTGTCCCAACTCGCCTGCCCAGTCCGCCCTCCACCAAGGTCAAGAGGTCAACACGGGCAATGGCGTTGATCGTGTCACTACCGCACCTGGCCATCGCTTCATGCTGCAGGGTCTCCTGGCTGTCACAGAGTTAGCAGACCCCGAAAGCTCTGCTCTCTACAGTATCGTTGCCACGATATGGCCGAGTGCGATCCCCCCTCTCGCATGGGTGCGTATTCTCCGGGCTCTCATTCATTTGGCGTACGCAAAATATACTCATTAAAAGGGAAGTGGCCGGACATTTCCCTGCATTAGGAAGTTCGGGGCTAAGTGAGGCTTGCTACTGCGCAGGTATTCGCCGTTGTGCTGCTGTGCATCTCTCCGATGTGTTTCTGGGTTGTGCCGCTTTGCGGCCGTTCCGCCGCACGATGTCAGACGTTCCGCTCAACTCGCCGGCGAGCTTCTTCAGGAACCCCCGTTTGGTTCCCGAAGAAGTCCCAGCACGCGCAACGAAACTTAAGACAACGCGCCGAACAGAGCGCGGTACGACCCGAAAAATACCACGCACATCAGAGAGAGCCCAGTGAGGCTTCCCAGGGTAGACAAACCACTGCTTCCAATTCTCATCGTGTACTGCACACCGAGAGATGCGCACGGCAGGCACCGCGAATACAAAACCCAGCGCCACTACCACCACCACTCCCCCCTGATTAGCGACGGTCACCCAGAGCGTGCGTGCTATTGACGGCCTGGTCTCATGCCAACGAACATAATAAATCAGCCATCGGGGGGGGGGGGAGTGAAAATTACACCCAAAAAGCAAAAAAATGTCAACAAAAACACTGCTCTAAACCAGAACGTAAACAGCAGCAGCAGCTACAGCCACGGCAACTTTGACATCTGCTGGTGAATGAACCTGGCAGTGATCAAGAATCTTAGCTCCACCCCTCAACCCCCCCCCCCACCTCCCCTTAAGGGAGATCCAGACAGGTTTCAACCCCCAACCCCCTCTTCTCACCTGAGCCATGAGAGCGAGAAGCATCAGGGGCCGTGTGGGGCTCATGGGAGGGGCAGTTCCAGAAATTTGGAAGTACACCTGGGCCACTCAGAGACACGTGGGTAAACACATTCCTGACGTGGCCCCGTTCCACTTGGGCGCCAAACGCCAACCGATTGGGGGCTGCACTTCAAACAGAAGTTATGTCCACCCCCGCCACCTTTCTCGACGATGCCCATAAAACACGGCGGTGTCGGACACACTCGGACCCAACTCACTTTGCGTCACCGACGCCACAATGGCGACGGCGCGTTCGGGTTTTGTGTCCCTCAAACCACCCGACTCTCTCCCACAGAGCAATCAATTTTTTTCCTAAGACTACGACAACTTCCGAAGCGACACCCGTCACGAATCATTCGGTTGAATGTGACGGAGGTTGCATAATTTGTGTAACTGCCCATGAAGCACCACCGCGTGGTGTGTGTACACGTTAGATTGTGTATGTGCATGCGCACACACAACCATATTATTACATGGACAAAGTATACTGTACATGCATAAAGCGTGTATGTATGTCAAACTTCTTTCGCACCGTGCATAGCCAACCACGCGAATCAGAGGTGCGTGTATGTGCGTTTGCACGCAGTACACTGTGCGTTGACCGCGTTACTGCGCGCATGCATGTGGACACAGCATGCCTCGGGTACATACACCGCGCTGTGTGCACGCACACGCGTACACATTGCGCTTTTAGGTGCACACAGCAGCACACCGCGTGCGAGCATCACACGTGTACACATTGCGCTTTTAGGTGCACACAGCAGCACACCGTGTGCGAGCATCACACGTGTAAAGAGTCACCTCCCATCGATGCTACACATCTACGCATCGTCATGCCATTCGGGGGTCACGATTCTACCCAAGAATTAATTCTTCTCCGTCTCGTTTAAGATTGCCTGCGAGCTAACATGGAATATAAATCAATACAGAGAACAATGGACCGCTGCTGTGGCTGTGGTGTCATGCGGCTCTCTGCGGCGCGCATTCGGAATACGCGTTGCGAGAGGTTAAACCTAAACCAGATTTTGTTTCCAGTCGCTTGGAGGGACGTGGTTGGTCCCCACGGCCTTCATCATCATCGTCCACACGAAGGCCCGCCGACGAATCTCCAAGTCGTTGCCTCGCTCGGGGAGGAAAATTAATTTTAACTGAATTTTATTTACTTTCACGCAATCGCTCCCTGTACGATTTAAAAATAAAATGTCTCCGTGTCCCTCAGGGTGTGGGAGGCACTTGCATAGCGAGCAAACTTGACAACTGCGTTGCGAGTCGTAACATCCATCTGTATCTGGAGCCAACAAAATAAACTGCTTAAAACAACAACACCACAATAATAACATCGGTAATGCAAACACAAGCACGGTCGCCGTGAGGTCAGGGCGAGAAGGGAGGTAATCCGACAATGTAGATTTATCCCAAAAATAAGATCAAACCTGGCCTGTACGTGGCTTAAATACCAAGCAAATGTAGCCCAAATCCAGTCTAAAGCCAGCCTGAACCCAGTCTGAACCGAGCTCCAATCCGGCTCAGAACCAGCCCCAGAACAATCCAAATGTAACCCAAACCCAGTCGGTGTCTCGTCTAAACCCGGCCAAAACCCATAGAGAGTTCAGCCGAAACCCAGTCCCCAAACCAAAAGTCTGCATCTCTCCGAAGCCTTGCCGCAGCCCAGCTCAGCAACGACCGATGGTGCGACAACTGGGGTGGATTCCTCTACAGGTCAAGTGGGAGCGCACACAACCGAGAAGGGGCTGCGAGGCCGCTCTGCGTTCACTCGTGTTTCCAGAATTACGTCGTTTGTAAAAAGCAATTAAAGCTTCCCTATCGCCACGTGGAGCAAGAGTGGGGGCGGGGGCAGTGTGAATTATAATCCCATGTGAAGCCCACACTCCAACCCACGAGACCCCAGCGAGGACTGACAAAGCAATGAACGGCAAACCAGAAGCAGCTTCTGCAAGTGACAGATGTACGAGACTATGTGAGCGTTTGTCATGCCTATGTGTATGTGTGTGCATGTGCTTTTCCTGGCCATGCTCTACATCCGTGATACAGGGTTTTTGCACCTCTCTTGTGCCTCCCCAAGGTTGACTCCGTCTTAAAGGAGTACCTTGCATACTGTGTGAGTATCAGCATTTGGGAGACAAAGTCATTTGGGCTTTAACGGAGCTGGGTCACACCAACCCCTCCCCGTGTTTCGTGCCAGCCTTGATAGGTGCTCACGAACAGCACTTACTAACGTTACGAATGGATCATTTTGTACACTCCTACACCTAAACCGTGACTGTAATTATCTCGAGTTCGGGAATCGCAAACAATTAACTCTTTTTGATAATAAACCTCAAAATCAAAGCCACCACCAGGGCCCTCCCCTTGTCCGCAAGCCTTTGACAAACGCAAAAAAAATTATACACAAATTAAGAGAAAACACAAAAAAACATAAAGCGCCATGTGTAATATATATATAACTCATCCAACCCTCCACCTCACGATTCGAACCCAAGTCTAACCCAGCGAATCTCACCGTCCACGATCAAACTCTCATATCAAAGAGGCTTGAGTTGCAACCAGGACTCTCTCCCAGATAATTAAGAGTCTTAACTAAATAATTAAGTCATTAATTAGGCTTAAGAGATGTGAGCCACCTAACCCAGTGAGCACCTTGGCTAAAGATTGGGCCCACGGACTTCTTCCCAGCATGCCAGGCCCACGTTTTCCACCCACAGCACAGGTGATGGTGTGGGGGGGGGGGGGGGAAGTGGGGAGACAAAGGCGGTCGGGCACGCACGACGCTCATCACGCGATACACGGGCGGCAGGCAGGGGTGGACACTCCGCCGTTTCAAGTAAAGAAAAGTTAACTGCATGCACGCGCGATCGCCACTCCCACCATTGCCCACCGCTCCCCCACCGCTCCTCGCCACCAAAGCCACCGCCGTCGTTGGCATCGTCGCCGGCGCTGGAGGCCTCCCCCACCCCGTTGTGCCGACGCGGCCCCCGACGGCAACATCCCAACCGACGCTGCGCGCTCGCACCGAACACGCGCAACCAAATTCAGGATGCACGGGATTATGTGATGAGGAAGAGGGCGGGGAAAATGTTCTCAAAATAATCAAATGTTCGTCCAGCAACGAACGGAGGAGTTGGGACGGCAGAGGGCTCGCGCGGAGAGTGTGCAAAACAGCAGTTTTGTGCCCAGATCCCAGCCGCATCACCGCCTGCGCGACCCCGGTGCTCGGCAAAATAAAGGAGACCTGTACACCCCCCCCACCCACGTTAAGTAAATATATCAGCCTCCGATTAAAGCTTTGGATGTGTGGATTTAGTGACGCTCAAGCCCGAACTATGGGTTAGTGTACATTTCAAATTGGTCACCAGTACATCTGTGACAACGTTGCATGTTCTCTTGATGGCGCTCTTCCCCTCCTGGCATCCCCGCTGCGTCTCGCCTACCCGCTCGCCTCCTCATCCACCCCTCACTCTGCCGCTCCTCCCTGTCTGCTCTTTCCCACACTTTCTTCATTTTCTCCATACCGCCCCTCTCACACTTGCTCTCCTCATCTCCGCTCCACTCTTCTCCCATGCCTTCCCCCTCTCATCATTCACCCTGTCCTCCGAGTCACCTCGTGTCCATTAATACCGCTCTCCTCCTCTGTCCCTCTCCCCTCCTCGCTCTCCTTCCCTTCACGCTAGTCATCAAGCCACCGTAAAGTCCAGTGAGAAATCACAAATCAGTGAAACAACAACGGGCAAGATGAGAATGGAGAGTGAGCAGGCTTTGGATGTGTTGACCATTTAGGAATCACACGGACTAGAGACTCCAGAATCGCCAAGAGGAGCCCGCAAGGCTTCCTGTACATGGCGAAACAAAATCTTGCCATGGCAGTCTTTGGTTGGAAAGGGATGGGGTCGACGGCATTGTCCGAGGATGTGTGCGAGTGTGTGAGTGTGTGTGGACTTTAAAGAGCGAGTCTCTCGATGAATGAATCGAAGGCAGGAGGAGCGACGGGGTGAGATAAGACGTCAGCCGGGACGAAGGGAAATTAAAAATTCAACAAATTTCAATTCGCAGAAGTTCAGGGCGTCCCATGAGGCGTGGAAGGGAAGCGACGAATTAATCTTCCGACGAAAACCTGGAATCACAACACAATCATCAGAACAGTTAAAACAACGAGGCAAGAGTTACAATGATAAATTACAAGAACGATGTCATTTATATATCCGGAAATATCTGACGAGTAAACAAAAAAAACGTTCAGAATGGTCCTGAAACATTGGCAAGGCTGGACAAGTGCATTCACGAGTCTGGCCCCATGTCAAAGGACACCAGAAAACCCAGGAGCAACCCAGCACCGTACTGCAGCCGAGGGGGTGACACCATCTCCTGGCTACACTTCGCAGCCGCACGCCTACAAAACCTGGCAAGCGCCAGTTGGAAGTGACGGTCACACATCCAAGTAGAAACCTGGCTGCATCCTGCTTGGCTTACGAGGAGACCAGGGATACAAGGCATCCCCCAGGGGCCCCGAGCGAGCGCGGGCGAACGGGCAGAGGGGGGGACACCCTCACCTGGTGCGGGTGACGTCAGTGCGCCGTCTCCTGGCTGCCTCCCTGCGAATGCTGCTCCAGCTCCCGACCGAATGCGCCCGCCGCCGTCACGCCCACATCCGCACCTTGGGACACGGCAAGGAGGAGGAGCAGGGGCCGAGAGGTCAAATTCGCATGCGGTGCTGGGAGCGTGGCGACGCGTCGATTCGCCAACAGATGGCCGTTCTCAAGTGCGCGATGCACGCATTGGAGTAAATCATGAACAATAATTGTGCTAGTTTTATATATACTCTGTCCAGAACAACAATTTAAAGTGCCGCTTCATTCACATTGGATCAGCTTTACGAGAGGTATATTGCCCTCCCCCAACCCGATTAAAGACAAGAGGACATACGCGCAGATGGACGATGCCAATGCGTTAACGCTTTTAAACACGAGCTAGAAGGAGTGACTAACACTCGCCGATGCTCACCGGCATCGTCCTCCGGCGAACCCAAAGGCGGCGCGTCGGCGCTCTTCGTCGCCCCGTCCGCTGTGGCCAGGCACCCGCCGTCCGGTACCAGCTCGGGCCGCAGGCCGTTGGGGACGGCCGGGGTAGGCCCCGCGTGGTCCAGCTCCTCATCCAGCTCCCGCTCCAGCTCCCGCTCCAGCGCCAGCTCCAGCTCGGACTCGCTGCAAGGTCCGACTGACACTGGCGCCACCGCCGCCGCCTCCTCCTCCTCCGGGGGCTCGTTCAGGCCGGCCTGGTCCACGCTGTTGTGGCCCCGGACGAAAACGGAGCCGTCGCCACCGAGCGTCAAACCGTTGCAGCTGGCGCCTCCTCCGGGGACGTGCGCCGCGCCGCCGTCTTCACCGTCGCTTCCACCGACGAGCTCCTTTCGCCGCCGTTCGGCAGCGTCCCTCCCTGGTCGCCATGCGGCGCCCTCGGCGACAGTGCCGGCCTCCCCATGCCGTGCCGTTCGCTCGCCCCGGCCGGACCGGTCCGACGGTAAAGTCACAGCCGCGAGATCCTCGTTTGTAGCACCCTCGGAAATAGCGCCGCTCCCCAGACTCCTGCCACTACCACCCCGGGCGCCGTCCATCGGCGCGCCACGCTCGTCGCAAGTTGACCTCGCGGGGTCATGGGTCAGGACGACCCCTGACCGGCCCGACTCTGGCGTTCTCACGAGAGCCGCGTCCTCTGGGCCTGCCGGCACCGCTTCCCCACTCGACTGCTGCACGCGTGCTCTGCCGTCGGCTTGCGAAACTCCCGGCTGCGTCCCGTCCCTCCGGACGCGATGCTCGTCGCCCGATGTCGCCGTCGGGCCCTCCGTACCGCGACCGCTTTCCTCCGCCCCGACGCCCGGCCGCTGGGAGTCGCTCTTCCCGCCCCCGAGGTCCTGACTGCCGGACCTGACCATGTGTTGCACGGCGCCGCTCTTCACCTGCGACTGCCACGGCTCCTCCGAGATAGTGACCCGGAACCGGCTGGGCTTCCTGACCACGGCGGCAGGCGGCGGCGGGGGCGGCGGCGCAGGCGGCGCCGGCGGCGCCGGCGGCGGCAGAGGAGACAGCAGCATGGGGGGCGGCGGGGACGTCGCGGTGGCCACCAGCTGTTGCACGAACAGTAGGCTCCGCTCCTCCACTGCGCCCGGCTCCACCCGGTCGCGACCAGCGGGCCGAGGGACGCTTCCGTCCGACTCGACCTGGGTGCCAGCAGCCGACTGCTGCTCCTGCTGCTCCTGCTGCTCCTGCTGCTGCGACTGCAGGTCGAGGGCAGCGAAGGACGTGGTGGGCGAGGAGGGCGAGGAGAGACACGGGGGGCCCGTGCCGTCGTCCTCCCGGTCGCGTGCGGCGTCGCGGTTGCGCTTGCAGTAGTTCTGGATCTCGGTCTGCAGGTTCTTCTGCGTGTCCAGGAAGCACTTCACCTGCAGAAACACGCGCAGGGGCCGGAGGTCAGAGGTACACGGACGAGAACATCATGGTCTGCTTGCGTTCGCCGTCACAGGTCGATATCCAAATCAATCAACAACTTGATTGACACGTCAAGAGTTAAATTAACCTTTTAATTGTTTGTTTGGCGGTCTCAAGCAGTAAGGGTGGCGTGCGTGCCAAGAGTGTTCTGTAGCCTCATACCAGTCTCTTAAGCCTGATCCAAGACAATCTGGACAAATAATAAAGCTTGCAACAAAAACGCATTAGTGAATAACACTGCCCCAAAGAGGAAAATATAAATATATTGGCAGGAAATACCCAGGTACCTGCGGCTATCTTTTGTGAATGCAGAGTAGCTCCATCACTGTATTTAGAAGGAGGGGTGTCAATGAATAGTGTTTTCCCTTTTGAGTTCAATGTGTCCTAGATTGGTCAATCAGACCTTTTTTCAGCAACTGCTGTGCCTGCTGTATTACTCTGCCACTTGCAGACTCCATGCTTCGTGATTAATCAGAACATTTGCCTACAATCACATGCAGTATAACTTCGTACCCTATTGTGGCACGTTACATTACATTATTACAGGCCCCATGGCACAGCAAAATCTTAACAGTTGCTGCAACGTCACCGACCCCCTCCTTCTGAATACAGTGAAGCTTTTTTTGAAGCGGGAACGATGCCGTGTTGTTCGTCTCGCACGAAGAGACGGGCGTGGTCACGGAAGTTGACCGTTAATTGGAATCACCAACGGGGTTTTTGGGCGATGCAACCAACGTCAATTTCAGATTCACTTGATGAGGAGGGGGTCATTACGTCACTGTTGGATGTGCGGGGCCAGGTTCACACGTGCAGGGTTAGGGATTGTGACGTCACTGGGAGCATGTGGGGGTGCCGTTTGGGGGGCTCCACGCCCCCTATATAAAATTTAGGCTCGTCATGTAGCTGAGGTTTTCCGCTGGGCATTAAAAGGTAACCCTGCCAAGTTTGGTGGTGATAGCTTTAACGGTGTGGCTTTTTATTTGGAACAGACAGACAGACAGACTTTCATTTGTATATATATGTAGAAGACACAGATAACATTTTAGCGAGTGCTATGGGGAAGGGCCATTTGTTAAACGTCGACTACTACATAGTTATTCCTCTGTCGGCAGTCTTTCTTGTGCTTGTGCACAAATATGACAAACGTTTAGTTTCATTTTCCAAGTGGAGCGTATTTGTAGTGGAGATGCACGGCGGGCTAACCGGAGTGACAATCAAATCCTGGTGATGTCACTCACAACTCATTGTCGATTTAAAATGTATTGGTAACACACCGGTCATTGTCAACTTCCGTGGAATTCCCAGACACCGCCTGATAGATAACTTTGTAACGGTCACCGTATTGACTGCACGTAGACAACTACTGTTAAAATTGTTTCATTCTTTGATAAGAGATACACGCAGACAATAATCATCATCGTTGTCATCGTAAGCTATCGTCAATCTACTGCTGGATGAAGGCCTCCCAAAGCTACCGCCACCCTCTCATGATCTTGCAACGCAACAATCGACTCGGGGACCCGCCAGAGGTCGCAATCGGGTACCCGATACCCGTACCCTACCCGATACCCGGCTACCCGTACCTGGCCGGGTACGGGTACCCGTTTGCAACCCTGGTGCGGCCGGGTACGAGTACGAGTAAGCCGTGAGTCATTGGTGAGTAACCGTTTGTCACTCATTTCCCAACGTCTTGTCTCTTCTCACAATTCAAGTTCCTAGAATCAACCCACCCGCGCCTGCAACATGGCTTCATCCCAGAGGTCGTAATCAGGTACCCGTCCCCATACCCTACACGATACCCGGCCGGGTATCAGGTAGGGTACGGGTACCCGTTAGCGACCCTGGTGCGGCCGGGTACGGGTAAGGAATCAAAACCCGTTTGCGACCTCTGGGACCCGCACGAGGATATTTCTCCGATCCGTCTCCACCGTGTACGTCCTCATTTCGTATGCGTGCTCCACTCCTTGGCTGTCGCTCCGTCAGTCTTCTTGGCCAATTGTCGTCCGTTCTGGCCGTTACACGTTCTGCCCAAGCCCCACTCGATTTTCTTAACGGTCTGGATGACGTAATTAACCTGTGTACGGTCTGTAATCGACGTGATCCAATTTTCTTGGCTCTTTCGGTAAAGTCACGTAGAAGGGAAATAATAAAATAATACAAATAAAACATAATAAAATAATTCTCACGACGTTCCGGAGGCAACACAAGCTTCCGTCTTCAGGTGGATACAGCTATCGTTAGCTTGATACAGCTATCTTGATACATCTATCGTGCTGTGACGGTTCCACCTGAAGACGGAAGCTTGTGTTGCCTCCGAAACGTCGTGAGAATTATTTTATTATGTTTTATTTTTATTATTTTATTATTTCCCTTCTACGTGACTTTACCGAAAGAGCCAAGAAGATGAATCCCTGCAGTCACGAAAGCTTTAAATCGAAATGTGATCCAATTTGTTAAAAGTTGATGCGGCAATATAAAAACAAAAACATTTAGAATCAGAGGTTGTTAAAACACATTGCACCTCCGATTAGCACGGTTGTCCACATAAGGTGCGAAAGAATTTCAACATACAAAGTGTTGTTTACTTGTGGATGTGTTGTGTGGAAACAATGCACGCACACAGCTTGCCAAGCAAAACCCGCTCCCAGCCCGACAAACAAAATAAACACAAAGCCTCAAACGGTGGAAAAACAAATGGCACATAGACAAAAGCATTTAAACACACACACACAGACACACACAAAGAGGTGAACACAAAACAGTTGCGCATCGTTGTGATTTTAAAATGTATATAAAAGATATATAATTATGATTCCCGTGACCGGCGGGTGACCCTCGCTCACGGCAACACCGGCTGGCGTGCGGTTCGGAGCTCCATCCCACCCACGCTTGCGAGTCTTCATGGTTCTGCCCTCCTTAAAGTCAGCGCCATAATCACGCGGATTTTAAGTCATAAATTGTCAATTTTGAGCACTCGGGGGTGGCCGACCAAGGTGAAGATACAACGGCGGATGGAAGTGATGATGGTGATGATGATAAAGGTGGTGATGATGGTGATGATATTTCGATTTAAAGCTTTCGTGACTGCAGGGATTCATCTTCTTGGTTCTTTCGGTAAAGTCATGTAGAAGGGAAGTAATAAAATAATACAAATATTATGTTTTATTTTTATTATTTTATTACTTTCCTTCTACGTGACTTTACCGAAAGAACCAATATGGTGATGATACTCTGGTTCTTTCAGTAAAATCACGTAGATAGAAATTAATAGATCACGACGTTTCGATATCAACACAAGCAACCGTCATCAGGTGAGACAAACACAGCAGGAGAACTGCTGAGGTAGGGGGAGCAGTTCTCCTGCTGTGTTTGTCTCACCTGATGACGGTTGCTTGTGTTGCGATCGAAACGTCGTGATCTATACATTTTTTATCTACGTGACTTTAACAAAAGAACCAAAGAGTATGGATTCCTGCAGTCACGAAAGCTTCAAATCAAGATTGATGGTGATGATGGCGACGCTATACCGTCGGTTCTTATAAAACGGGTTTTCGACTGTGCAATCGGCTTGTGGGATCTGTGTAGAATGAAGGAAGCGATGGCGAGGGTGCGGTGGCATCAGAGGCGCTGGCCACGACGCCCTCTTGGATGAAGGAAGAAAGGGAGGGAGGGATGGAGGGAGAGTTTGGAGGGATTGAAAGGGCGGAGAGGAAGGCAGAGATGGAGGGAAGGAGCGAGCGAGCGAACGAACGAACGAGGGACGTGAGGGAGCGAGAAGCCCCTCGCTAGTGAGCGGGAGGAGGCATCGCGTGTGATGCACGACGCGTCGCTGAAATAATAATTTACGCTGGCGCCGCCGTGGGGCCACCGCAGCACTAACGGCGCGGTTATTAATGTTCACGGGGACCGGAGAGGACGCTGCAAGCACGCATCGCAGCTCATTAACACCGCCATCGCTTAGGATTAGCGCCGCGCGCTGCGCAGACAACTCCAATGTTGTCTCCTGGCCCCGTGTAACCCCGGGGCCTGGGGATGCATGGCGCGAGTTGGCGGGGGTAGTGGGGGTAGCAGTGGCTTATTTGTTTTAGTGAATCACTAAAACAAATACACACACATGCATACAAAATGTGGAATTCATTTAAAACTTGAATATTCATAAGATTGCAAAGCCCTTTAGTTAAACCACTGCCAAGTGAGGGCCCCCCCCCCCCGTTACTGTGCGGGTCGTGGCGGGTTATAACCCCCAGTACAGGACTCACTTGACCGGCCTGACATCCGCGACTGTGTGGACAACAAGATCCTTGTCCTGTCTGTGCAAGGTAGTCAACCCATCATAGCGGTATCCAGGCCCAAACCCTGCTTGGCATCCAAGATCCGATGAGATCGAGCGGGTTCCAGATGATTTGGTCGCAGGCAGGTTTTCCATCGCGAGCATTGTATGCCCAAAAATGTCATTTGAACAACAAAGGTACAAACGGGACATTCAAAACATGCTTTTCATGTCAAGACGACAATAGCATATTCGTACATTGCCATCTTCACACAGCCTGTGATAGCCACCAGCACAAAATAGCTGAGACACAAGGCATTTATTGCTTTAGGCAACAGCGGGATTCAGAACGTCGCAGAGCGGACGGGTTTACAGAACAACCAGCTGACCTATGAGATCGTGAAAATGTGGTGATGCTGCTGCTGCAACCGTTGGCAGTGATGCACAAATAACAAAAAACTCACCACATCTGTCAGTCATGCTTCTTTAGAAGCAAAAACACATAACACACAAATTGTTGGGAAATGGTCCTTCTTAATAGCACATACATGCTAATTGCTAAGAAGGGATTTAGGAAGGGGCAAAGAGAAGGAAGAAAACGAGGAGAGATGCCAGCACGGTTCCCCAATGACCTCACGGTTTGAGTGGTTATGGGAGAAAGATGGACCAGCAGAACAACTTCATGCAAAGCATGCTGGGTCTTCCTGTTGGGCTGTTGCTGTCTAAAAACACCTATTTGCATGAACATTATCATTTAGTTTCAGGCCATCAGATATATATGTATTTTGTGTGTGCCAGGCTGATGGGTTTTCCCATTAGCTAAACGAGACTGCGTGAATCCGTCCAGGTTATTTATAACCAGCACAGCGCTGATGTCTCCATCACACTCAACAGGGCAAACCGCCAAGGGGGGGGGGGGAAGTGTTTTGGACAATCCGTTAAACTGCCAAACCAACCCCGGTGAAATTGAGGTGGCCGGGCGGTTCAGAGGTCAGAGTGTTAAGCCGGCACTGCTGAGATCCTGGGTGTGAATCTGGCTTTCAGCCACCTGTGATTATAAACAATAACTGCCCAAAAAAGTCCGGCATATTAAATTTGGTTCTGCACTTAACTTGGCTAAATTGCAACCCTTTGAATTAAAACACCGGTTCACCCATCACGCAACCAACATTAGTCTTTGGCCAAGCAACATGCAGTCTCCTACTGTGTGGACCTGACGTCACTTGGAAGGATCTCGGAGGTAGCTCTCCATTGTCTCCTTTCACAGAGTTCTCTAGTACGAAGGGTTGCGCTGCTCTGCGAGATTTACAACTGGAGTCTTCATCGCAATGCGTGCCACCGCCAGCACTTTGCCACTAAATTTGTTTTAAAATCCCGTTACGATTTTCTAACTCCACGTCTGCGAGCCCTAGGAGAGAGCACCGGCATCCTTAACACAGCAGCAGCAGCAGACGCACAATCAAGAAGGCAGCAATAGCGGCAGTAGCGTCGATGGCGACGATGGCAGCGGTGGCCACAACGGGGTGTCGAAGCGCACACACGACGCCGATCATCTATTATTAACGAGCCTCCGCACTCGAGTTGGGCGGCACTGGCCAATCATCAACCAGGCTCCGTCTATAATTATCCTAACAGTGCGGCACTCAGAGTACCGCGTCAGGATCGCCCCCATTGCCCCGATCGCTGGCTCCGTCGTCGCCTGGAAACCAAATCTCTTGTCCAAAACACTAATTGCTTCTGTCTGCCGCTGGACAGCATCTGCTCTTTTGTCAAGAGCAGGCTGGCGCGCGCGCGTGCGTGCGGGCTTGAGAGAGAAGCACGCACGGCAGGCGGTTCGCGGCAAACACGATGTGACAGCGTCCTCCCCAAGGCAAGCGTCGGCCAGGAAGACGGAACTCACCAATAAACACACGGCGAATTGCAACGCGAACTCACAGCCCAGCCCGCAGGGAGATCTCGTGTCAAGAACATCTGAGTTTACTGTTACAGGAAGTGGCTGGGTAGCTCGGAAGTTAGTGCGCTGAGCTGGTACGACCGAGATCCTGGGTTCAAATCCAGGTTTTAACCAGCTGCGATTCAAACAGGGTTCTCAAGTAAAGATTATATGCGTAGAGACCCACAGACTTGTATAGAGATGCACACACTAGCACAGAGACCCATTGACTCAGAGACGGAAATGTAAAATAACTGTTTCTCAAGTTGTAGTGAGTTGATGGTTCCCAGCCCAATGACAAATGACTGCAAGAACTAATAACCATCACGGTTACAATTGGTTTTGCAGTTAATTTGGCTAAATGTTAGCTCCCAGGAAATCGGTTTGAATGACATGCAGGGCATATGAACGGCGACTCCAGTTTGAAAAAAAGAGGCCTATTGAATGACTTCAGAAGTAGTTCTCCAATGTCATCTTCAAGGGCTGTTCTATGGTTGTTTAGTTATGAACAATCAAAGACACGCTCGCCTCATGACATGATGCGGATAACGCAATTGGAATAGAATTGGAGAAAAAACTAAAACAAAAAAATTATTCTGATAAAAAAAACGGTGAAAATAAAATATCACGTGCAACAAAAAGAAATGGTAGAAACAAACCGACGGATCGATAGACGACCTTAGCTTATTGCCAGTTAAGAGCCTATTTGGAAACTTCAAATGACACCTGGACCTAAGTATAACATTAACAATCAGACATAAGGTCAGCAAGGTCGTGAGTCCACACCATTTACCACAGCACGGTCATTACGGCCGTTGTCCGCGACTATGGGCGACCTCTGCTCACGTGCATCATAACCCCGGTCGCAAGGTCTGCCCCAGACCCGTGACCTCATCCCCGGTCCACTTCATCGACGTTCAACCGGTTAAAGAGGGCGGCGCACCTCGAAGAACACGAGCAGCTGGGCAAGCGCCGCTCAATCACCTCTCTAAGAGCGTCACCGTCACCCGGCTTTCAGCTTCCCCCTTGCATGGCCACCCTCTCTGGGTACCGAAAAACTAAAACGCACGACTGAACCCACGAACCGCAGGCCGGACTTGGCCTGTGACTTCCATGTCATACGGTCCGTGGACATGAGGCTGACGAATTGTAAGTAGCCGGCAGGTCTTATTTACCTGTCACAACGAGCATCTTAGCCACACTGATCGGGAACGAGGGGAATATTTCCGACAAGGCAACAACACTGCGTTACTAATGGGAGTGCAATCAGTGGGATTCTGTCACTGCAAGAGGTCCTTGTAGTGACAAAAGTGATCAAGGTGGGTGTGTGTGTGTGTGTAATGTGTGATTCCCCGCCAAAGGTATCAGAAAGTCCGTTTCGATGCTCAGCAAAGAAAATCTTCCGTTTCAATCCCTGCTCTGACCTCAGCCGCAGTGACCTCTCCCTCTGACAGCCGCCCCGGGGACGTCGCCACGACCCACCTGCTCCTTCTTGGGCTCCTTGTCGATGTCGAGCCGGGCGAGCGACGTGTTGACCTTGAGGGCGAGCGCCAGCGCCATGAGGCCGCCCGTCTTCACGTCGTTCTCGCGCAGGTCGATGCGGACGATGCGCGGGCTCTCGGCGATGAACTCCGCCACGGCCACTGCACCTGAAGTGGCAGAGGAGGGGCGGGGGACCAGGTGAGCCAGGCTTGGCAACGTCGTAGCGACGCAGGGGAAATTCGGCAGGGACAATTCAGCAGGCGCCGTTTCGCTCCGGCCTCCAGGGACACGCCGGCCGGCACGGGGAGGCCTGCTGTGCTGCGACTGTACGACGCTGCGCGTTTACCCTCGCAGGTGATGCGCGTGCAGGCCAGTCCCAGGCGCAGCACGGAGCGGTTGGCGATGAGGCCCTCCTTGAGCCGCAGGACGCCTTCGTTGCCGACGCTGTTGTGGCCCAGGTTCAGCGTCTCCAGGCTCTGCGTGCACGGCTGCGCAGGCACGCGCACAACAAACACGCGACAATTCGTTGCAATTTTTAAACAAAGTAAATTTTTTACATGTATATCATTATAATGATGAGTAAAATCGCACGGCCCCAGGAGAGACCTAGCTGAAATTAAAACCCGGTGGTCGAATGTACAAAACATATTTACAAATGACAGCAAAATATACCAAGGTCACATTAGTCCATAAAAATGGAAAACGAAGTGGGGACTGAGAGCGGAGATGTTGAATAACGGTTATGACCATGATCACGCTGGTTAGCCCAAGAGAGGCGTGCGTGCCAACATGGGGAGCAGAGGGAGCAGATGCTGCCTGCCCTGCCCCTACTGTTAAAAAAGGATGCAAACCCACAACCCTGTTCCCCCCTAAATTAATAACTTTCACAGGCCCCCATTGGCTAAGTGATGTGGATACAGACGCTACCTACCAGCTTCTCCCCCCTTCCATTAAAACAATTATGCCCTGTCTTCTTGGTTCTTTCGGTAAAGTCACGTAGAAGGGAAATAATAAAATAATAAAAGTAAAAATAAGAAAATAATTCTCACGACGTTTCGGCCACAACGCAAGCAGCCGTCCTCAAGTGAAGAACAGGTCTGTCGGGAAGACAGCGTCTGAATGAGACGCTGTTTTCCCGACAGACCTGTTATTATATTATGTGTTATTTTTATTATATTATTATTTCCCTTCTACGTGACTTTACCGAAATAACCAAGAAGATGAATCCCTGCAGTCACGAAAGCTTTAAATCGAAAATTATGCCCTGGTTGCACACGAATGGTGAACAGGTACACATGGGCGGGTTGGGGGGTGGTGGCGACGTGGGCGCGCGTGTGGGCGCGTTGTATGCAGTAGGGGTGTCGCACGTACCAGCATGCTGGCCACGTACTGCATGCCCACGTGCGACAGCTGGTTGTTCCACATGACGAGTGTCACGAGGCCTTTCTTCTGCTCCTTGAGGCCCTCGCACACGTGCTGGAGGCCTGCACGCGCACAGGGGGACGGACACACGTGCATTCCAGTCACACGTTCGCACGCAAACGTCCACATGCACCTAATGGGGAGCTACTGAGACGCTACCAGACACTACAACACCAAGGCCTACTGGGATACTACCAAGCACTACCGGGACATTGCCAAACACCAGAATACTATCAAACACCACCGAGATACTACCAAACACCACAGAAATACTATCAAACACCATCCGGACACCACGAAACACCAACCGAGGTGCTACCAAGCACTACCGGGAAACTAGTGAACAATGCTGTGGGCTCGTGCTCGCACCCGAGTCCATGAGGCTGTTGTTGCGCAGATCCAGTAGCTGCAAGGTGCTGTTGAACTTGACCAGGTTGCCGAGCTGCAGGGCGTCCTGGCCGCTGTTCAGTTTGTTGTCGGCCAAGTACAGCTCCCGCATCGCCAGGTTCATCTTCAGTGCAGACACTGGGGCAAGGTCGGGCAGGGTGGGTGGTTGAGGTGGGAAAAAGTGGGAGGGCAGGGGGGAGTGAGGTGGGGGCGGTGGTTGTCGGAACGGTAGCGGCGGCGATGGGAAAATTTTATTTAAGAGACAGCAAATTGGAGACGGGGGGTGGGGGAGAGGGGAAAAGATCATGTCAAGCGAACTGCAGGGGCTGCGCTGAAATATTAGCGGGCGCACCAAGGATTGACGCTTCACGTCCACCCACGTTAGCCCTGCACAACGACCCTTAACCCCTCCGCATCCCAAACCCGGCTCCCCCTGCGCCACATGTCCAACCCGACTGACCCAGAAGCAGGAGGGGGCGGCCGGACATGCTGGCGTTCTCCATGTGCAGCACCGCGAGGCTGCTGTGCATGCGCAGCTGCTCGCGCCACAAACGGCAGGGCCTGGTCGGCGACGGGCGAGTTGCGTGCGTCCAGGATCTGCAGGCTGCCCGTCTGGTGAGGTCAGGCAGAAGGAAACAAAGTCGGCAGGACAGCGAGGGGGTGAACACACAGGTGGGGGCAGAGGGGGGGGGGTGATGAGAGGGGGCAAGGAAGGGAGGGGCAGATGATAATGAGCGACATAGAGTAGCGATTGAGAGGGAGTGGGAAGAGGAGGCATGATGACCAAGTGGAAAGATAAGATGAGGGAGAGACACGAGCGGGGTCGCGTGGCATGGGCTGGAGACATTAGGCAAGTAACCATTTGCTCCTCTCACACTCACAGTGACTGATGAATAGTCACGATTCGGGGGTCACAAGTAAAATTTTTTGGGTTTTGTTTTCCACGACGATTGTATCTGGTGTATGCGTGCGTGTGTCTGTGTGTATTGTGGGGAGCGGTAGTGTAGCGGTTAGTATGCTGAGCTCGGAACCCGGCGACCCGAGCTCGATTTCCGCTAATGGCCAACACCAGTGACAATTATCTGAACCAGTCCTTAGCCTCCCCTAGATAGAATCAGCCGCAAATGAGTACCCTGTACGATGTGTAAACATCGTCGCTCGGAAGACAAAGGCGGCCAGGCGTGGTGTTGGCTACCCACCCCCTCGTGTGCCATGCCGGTCTTCATAGGCGCTCGCTAACAGTGCTTGCCCCAATAGTCTGTTAAGGTTATATGGCGGATCTTTGTCTTTGTTTTGGTGCCCTGTGGCTATCTGTGTGCGTGTGTGTGGCGTCTTGTGGGCGAGGGTCTGACCTTCTTCATGAGATTGGCTGCGGCCTGCCACCCACGCACACCGATGTGCTTGTTGAAGGAGATGTTGAGGTGGACGGCCGACTCGTAGTACTCGACCATGTCGAAGAGCGCCGAGGCTCCCTGCGCACGACGGAGGCCCGGGGTGTGGGCCGCAGCGACGGTGAGGACAGAGGCACAGGGTGCGCCATTGCGACACTCGAGCTGCGACGCTCAAACAGGTTTGAATCCGCCAGTACAGCAGCATCGTAATGGCGCAATAACGACACATCTGTGCCGTGACTTATGGTGACGCTAACGAAGCATCACAGCCCAGAACCTTGTCAGGTATAATTATTGGCCACCAAGCAGGCGCTACTGCAGGAGTGGGCCTTACCTGGTTAAATACAAAGTTTAGTTTTCATAGTTTAAGAGTGTGCTCTTAAGCATGGGTAACTAGAAGCCCATAGAACAACACTGTGCCACCTCTCAGGCTCCCATTGGCAGGGTCAGCACACATTAGCCAACACCCGCACACAACGCCAGTGGCTCCCCGAGGCTGCATGGGGCTCGCAACTCATTTAGGATGAAAGAAACAAAGGAGTGATTGACGAGGAAGCGACTGAACAAAGAGGACGAGAGTGACAGGACGAGATAAGCGAGCTTAGGATCACTGATCGACTAAAACTGCTTCACAGTGAAATCGATTTCCCCTTCTCCACTGGCACATCTGAGCCGCCTCAGAGTGAGGGGCCCCCTCACGGTACGGGTGCTATACCATCAACTGTTTGCCAAGACGAGCCAGAAAACAATCTGTGCTACCCTGGCATCGCAACACGTCCGAATCTGGCTCGGGGCCAAGCAGGGCCAGGCTGCGGTGTTAATGACGCGTTTATCACGCGCTACGTCAAGTCGGCACAACTCACAAGCGGCGTCACGGCGTCGCTTAAGCGCTTCTCGACCGGTTCGTCGCACATTACGTCAGCTGCACGGCCCGGGTTCAGCAGTAGAAAAACAACCTGGTGGCATCTTGCGTTATGCCAGCCTCGGTTGGCTAGGTACGGCCCCGGTGCGGCACAGTTGTGCGGTGGAAAAATAATAGGGGGTAAATGAGTCGGTGAGGGAGCAACAAGGAATCCCACCCAAGAAACTTCCATCAGGTTAGAAAATAAATAAATACAAAGACACCCACGTCTTCATCCAGGCTTGTGGACTCAGCGTTGACCTCATTGAACTGCATTCGCTTGAACACCTCCTCCAATGTCTCGCATGTCTTGTAGTCCAGCTTCTCCGCTGCAGGAAGGAGGGACGGGGGAGAGAGGTGAGAGTTAGAAAAGGTGACAATGGGGAAGTGAGAGGGGAGACACAAAAGGAGATAGCTGAAAGAGGGTAGAAGTGAGAGTGGGGAGAGAGAGAAGAGGTGAGAGAAAATAAGAGGGGAGTGGGGAAAGGGTAGAGAGAGAGGAGATGTGGGGAGAGGAGAGAGAAAAAATGTGAGGACGGCGACGGAAGGACATGTGTTTGTGAGGCCAGCCTTGAGAGGAGAAGAGAACGTGCAGAGGGAAGCAGGGGATGTGCAAGGTTGAGGTCACGTTAGCATCATGGAGGGGGCAGTGCTAGCATCTCGTTGGCTGCTTTGGCTTGGATCTGATAAAGGACCGTTGTTAGTGGCTGATGACCTGGTTTGTTAGGGTCGGCAATCGGGGCTCAGTTGAGAAACCGATTGGCTAGTTTTGTGAGGGTCAGGGCTCACACCGGGGTCTGAGTGTGCTATGCCCCCATGATGTGGGCAATTTACTCTCTTCTCTTTTCACCTCTGGCATTTAGCGCCATCACACGCCACACAGAGGGAAACGAATTTCGAGAACAAAGAAATAACTAAATCAATTAAAAATGAAATGCGAGGAGTGCGTTGGCAGCAGTGACTTTACACACACATATACGCACCTGGCTACTGTCACACATACGTGCACAGCCCCGTACGTTCAACCATACTTCATCTCGCTGGTTTAGTGTGGGTTGAGCAAAGAGAAGGTTGGATAGCCCGGATCAGTTCGGAAATTGCTCCGCAACCGACGTTAGCCATTGCTGGGAATCAAACCGAGGTCACCGGGTACGTAAGCGTAGTGCCCTAATGATTGCGCCAATGTTCCACCCCCTTGCCACTTATTTCAAAAAACACAAATAGTTTGTAATTTGCTGCGGCTCATGAAAAAAAACTTCAACTGGAACGCTGCGCACATTAATCCTAATTAAATTCGACTGCTGCACCATCCGCCCTATAAACTACACAAACCTTACGGACGCAAGTTGGCGATTCTGCCAACTTTAAAGTTTAAACAAGCCAACGGGCGCCTACAAGACAATTGACCTTCCTACCAGTTCGCCGTCAGGTGGCCGAGTGGTGGAACAAGCGACTGGCAATCCCAAGGTTGCAAGTTCACATCCTGGTTAGGGGATGACTCCCTTCCTCTGGGGTCGACAGAATGAATACAACGTAGTGGGGACATCAAAAGTGGTTGTCCTATGGATTCTACCCTACTCCCACTCCGCCATAGGAATGTGGAATTTCCACCACTTGTTCTAAGCTTCAAACAGGACATGAGCACAACCTGAATGCTCATTTGAGCAGGAAATCACGTTTACGTATTTATGTTTCTGCTTATTATTATCTATGAGTCTGTATGCCTGTGACTCTGTGTGCATATGCATGCCTACGTGGAAATCTGTCTGTGTGCATGTGTTTATGCAAGTCTAAACATCTGCGTGTTTACATGCGTGTTGAGCATGTGTGGACCTATGCCAGGGTAATTATTTGTATGTCTCTGTTTTGTATTTACGCGAGTTGTAAGAACACAACAACAATAACAAAAGGCAGCGGACAACACAACACCTCAAAACAGCCGAAGATTAAAGTGCCGAAGAAGCCGGAGAGGGATTTCCTCGGAAAATTCCAGCCCAGTTTTGCCAAATGAGCTGGTCCGGGATTTGCGAGCAGCCCTCATCAGGTGAGGTCAGCGCACTTGGCTGGGCTGCTTGGAAAGCTATCAATAATTCACTTAGCTGTGAACGGCACTGTGAGACGTGCACACTCTAAAAAACCTGGGCCGACTCGTCTGATTAATTGGGGTGAACTCACGGCTAATCCCTCGCACCGAGGCACTGGGCAACGCCGCAAGGCTATTGCGGTAAAGGAGGGGGGGGGGGTGCAAAAGAAGAACAAAAAGATGTCGAGGATTCTATTTTAAAAATTACCAAGTTTAAAAGATGTACGTTCATTTTTTGTTAACTCATAAAGAAATGAAGAGAGTTGGCGTTGAACTTTACCCCTGAGATCGAGGCATTCCACTCTTCCGCTGAGCTCAGTGATATCCTGCAACACAGAAAGAAAAAGACCCCCACCCCCCATGAATACGCATCAAACTGTTGGGGCAAGCGCAGTTAGTGAACATCTATGAAGCTCGGCAGGGGGCACGAGGAGGTGACCGGCTGCCTTGTGTCTCCTCAATACTGACATTTACACACCACACCATGTACCCGTTTTAAGGCTCAATTGACCTAGGGGAAGACCAGGACAGGTTCTGATATTCACAACTTATGTGAGCCATGGCTGGAAATGTAACTTATGTTGCCAGGTTCATTGAGCAGCGTGCTAAGCACTTTGCCACTGGTCTACACCTCTTCTTGTTTTATCAGTTGCTGAGCATAGGTCCAAAACGGCCAGCAACAAAGAGCACTACCGAAGGTGTAATCAATGAGTTATTTTGTAAACATGTACACATACATGGCCATGAGCAGACACTTGCCCATACACCCACTCGTCCGTCCAACCCTCGGTTCCTCCATCCATCACTCCATATGTCCATCCGTCAACCCGTCCATCCCACCTTCCCTCCTTCTGTCCTTCTATCTGTCAGTCCCTGTTTCTATCCGTCCATCAGTCCCTCCTATCCATCGCCTCCTCCTCCCACCATCCATCCATCCGTGGGCCTCTGCCTGGCACGGTTGTGGCACCGCGCCGACGTTGGCACGGCGCCATTTACAGTGCAAGCGGCCGCTCGCCAAGCCGGCCTGAGCGAGCGGCACGGGGGCGGCGGCGGCGTGGCGCGCGAGCATCTGCCGGCCGGATTAAACGCCGCACCTCAGCGCCGGCAAAACAAGCAGCGGCGCGGCAGGAGAACGCGATCCCTTTGCCGTGTGCCAGCACGGATCATTATCACCTGCCCAGGTCCGGTTGGAGAATTTTAAATACTGCGAAGACTCGTCGTCCATGTGCCTGCCCCTGGCCCGGGCAAGAGAGTCACGATCCCATTGGCTCTTCTCCTCTATCCGTGGGATTGACGGCCCCCCCCTTCAAATGTAAGAGGAGCTAAATCCCGATGTGACCCAGCTTAGTGGCGCCTCTCTCGCCAGACGCGAGCATGTGTCCGATTTACTGTGCCACTTGATGTTCATCCGAACTCACCTTCCCTACAACCACAACTACAGGACCTGAGTTTTGGGGGCCTCTGAAAATCTGTCAGTGACAAGTGTCACAAAGCAAACGATGGGTACAGGTGCAACTTCATAATCGCTTGCTCCTGCCACTCCTGGCAGAACGGTCTCCACTACAGGGAGCTCTAGACAGCCGCCCCTCAAGGGGATATTTTGACGTCTCGGAAGAGGTTGGAGGACCCACAATTTGCCCCACCAGACACTAGCTGCCAATCAACTACGTCCGGTGTACTCATTTACACGGTTGATCGTTACACCACGGTGGCAGTGGCAGCAGCAGCAACAGTAGCAGCTGCGTACCATTGCAAATAAAAACATCGTTTTATAAAATCGCTCCGTTTCTTATCGGCATCAACGTGGAACGTGGTTAAGTACAAAAAGTTATGGAAAGAAAAAAGGCGCAATAATCATTTCGCTGACAAATATTTGCACTGTACTTAAATACACACTGCGATGCAGTCACTTTACACGACAGCCGCCAAAAACTACAGCGGGACGTGAGACCGCCCCCCCCCCCCCCCACTGGGTAGCCACAGGGGTCGCTCTGTGCTTAAAAAAGACGAGCGCGTGTTTATTAAAATAAACAGTCTAATGACATAGGACGCCGGTGAGGGAATAATCGCACCGACGCACTCGGAACCGGTTACACGAAACAGGCAACGGTTTTGTTTTCAATCAACCCGACACTTCCCTAAAAAGCGACTCAATTAATAAAGCGGTCGTCGCGAGGTTACATCGGTTCGCTTTCCCTAAACGGACCCAAATCATGCCGCTTCGCCCATCGACCAATCAGCCGCCGTCATTTAGCAGGGCAAGGTAACGCCGTGCATTATGGGACACACAACCAATGAGGGGGAGACAAACAGTGCCGATTTAGTTGGGATTTATCATTTCAGTCATAGCCTCGGTCTCATCGACGACAACCTGTGGAGATTGAGTCAAGTCTGAGACTGCTGATATCATGTGGTCATTCTCTTAGTCTATTCGACTAAAGCAGTCACTACATTGAGTCAGACGCTTATTCGTAAAGGCTGGTGTGAGGGGCGTGCCGTTTCTCTCAACCTCAATATCATGAGCTCAGCCAATCGGTGAGCTAAGTAAATATTTTTTGTATACTTTTATAACTAATTACCATGTTTGGTATGCCTCAGTAGACTGCAGTCTCTGCTGACGTTAACAAATTACCTTAGTCTGCATCTTCAGACTTGTTAATTTCGTTTCCACATAGTTGTCTTTGCTTTGGCGATTGTTCTTCGGCATAAACACGTTTGATTATATATTTTCGTCCATTCAGTCATCGTTAACTGATCAAAAAAACCTCTTAATTGAAGAATATTTTCGTCACTAATTTGGCAAACAAACTTATGGTGGTCATTGTCACGTTTTGGGATTTTCATCCAGCCATAGTCATCACCGAATGAAATGAAATAAACACTTTGTTGACGAATATTTTGATCACTTATTTCAATAGGGACATTAATGCTGGGAGGTGCCGTAGCCCCAGTGGAGAGTTCACCGCCCTAGGAGGTGTTGGCAAAATAAATGGAAGCGGCAAGAGCTCTCAGTGTGCAAGGTGGCCGAGTGGCTCAGAGGACAGAATGCCGAACCGGCGCCACTGAGATCATGAGTTCAAATCCAGGCACTAGTCTGTTATTAAACTGGGTTATCACGCGTAGTGAGTTTATCGTCTCAGCCAGGTCACCTATGGCTGCACAGAATAATACATACAATTTCCTTCATCACTGAGAGTTGGTTAATTTCCAGCTTGGAGCATTAAATATCAGTTTGACTGTCATGCGATGAACGTTACTCTCAAATGCAACGGGATAGTGCTCCCATGACTGTGAGGACTAGAAGTCACTTTAAGGGAACTCAGAGGTAGTTCTGTGACATTTGCCTCCGTGGACCTTTGTCCAACATGAAAAGATGCACAATCGGGATAACATTGGGACAATATGAAAAACACAAACCAAAAACAAAATCTCTCGGTTAAATTTACAGGTAGCAGTGGGCAGAGTGGAGGTTCTGTCCCTGGTTACCTGGGGCACCCTTGATGGTTCGGGCTGACATGTACGCCAAAAATGGAATGGTTATTGAAATAACAGCCCGGACATTGGCGCTCACGTATTCACATACACACGGGTAGTGCGGAGTCATTGCTGAAACCCAGGGGGAGATGAAGCCTTCTTTGAAACACTGTCTCTCAAATTAAAAGTGTACCACTTAATGCTGCATCATTGCCAATAGAGATTTATTTAAGCTTGTCCGCTTTTACAATAATGTACACATTATTCCCAGCCAGGCATGTAATGATTTAACGATCAACGTCGATTCTTATACCCACGATTTAAGTATTTAATTGTGTGGATATTGCATCGATTATCTTTGGTGATGAATATGTACACCGTTTTTGTTCCCTATGCTTAAATGGTCAAAACGAAAGAAAAGCAGAACAATCGAGTCAGTCCAGATGGATTAATAGATGGTACACACACTGTTGGCTACATACGGTGCGAAAGAAGTTCATACAGACGAGACGAACAATAAAGATGAGACAAAATCCACAAATGGTGGAAGACATCTTCATTGAGACAAGACCATATCGACAAGAGACAGTACAGACGAAACAGACAGTACAGATGAGACGGGCAGAACAAACGAGCAAGACAGTACACACACAAAAGAGACAGACAATATGGGACAAGGTGTCCAATACAGATATCGTGTACAAGAGCATAAACAAAGCAGACTGCACAGCCACCACAAACAGCAGACTCTACAGACGGTACAAATTAGTCGATAAACAAGAGACTGTACAGACAAGAGAACAATTAAATTTTGAATTGCATTGTGACCTAAAATCATGGAAATTCATCAAAATGTGGGGCGGGAGCAAATCGTTACACATCTCATTCTCGCCGAGTACTTCCGCAGATCTCTATCGGGTCTGGCTAAAAGCAGGGGTGGCTGCGAACCGAAGGCATGTGACAGCGCGCGTCTACGATCACGCGTTGCTGCGCCACGCTCCTACGCAAAAGCTGAAGTTATTGTCATTTATCCGCGCGTTTACGTTCATAACGAGCAGGCCGCCTGGAGCGGCCCAGTTTTTATATCGGTCGCCGTTACGTTTCAAAAACAGGAACAGCTCCCCACCATCCCTCCCACCTCTTCCAGCTGCCGACCTACACACTTGGACTGTTTTCAGATCTTGTTTGCTTTTACAGTCGTGGCGGGGGGGGAAATACCGAACGTGGGCATTTGCCACGGTCATGTTGTGATGGCAAGCCTCTCCGTTAACAACTTGCAACCACGCGAGATTTAAGATGGCACCACTTGGTTAGGCACGATGTCCGACTTAATGGGAGTTTCTCATTATTCACTTTGTGGAGAAACAATAAGTCGGACCCCACGCAGAATAACCCAATTTGAGTTCCTGAAGAAGCTCCCTGCGCATGCAGAGCAAAACATCAGACATTGCGCCAGACAAAGCGCAGCACATCCCCCGATTTCAAATTGAAGAGCTCCGCACGTCACAATCTCAAGAAGCTACGGGAGTAGCAAAACAGGTAACAAAAACACACAAGCACAGACTTTAGACACAAACCAACCCCCTCTGTCACTCTCCGTAACTGCCACTCGTCGTAAACAAACAACACGTCGCCACCGTGCGCCCGTGGGGACGCGAGGAAGATGAAGATGGGCGCGCGCCGCCCGTTACGGGGATTCCTCTGCGGTCACAAGCCACAAGCCGGCACGCGGCACTCCTTTGGTGAGGGGGGGGGGGTATGTGGGTGGGGGGGGGCAGGGCACTAGCGGTAGCGTGCGCGGAATCGGACGAGAAATGCCGACCTCGCGTGACAACTCGCAGGTCGCTGTTACTCGCTGGATGTTTCCTGCCAAATCTCATCTGGGCCGGTCACAAAACAACGGCAGCAACACGCGACTCGGTGGCTTGAGCCGCTCGCCAAGCGAGTCAAAACACACCAGATTAAACCGAGAGATTCATTTGTAGCATGGGGAGGGGGGGCTCTCTCTGTTCCATGACGGGCACCTCTAAAAGCCTGCAGTTCTTACCACGGGAGAGTGAAAAGGGACTCTTCTGTTTCAGTGCTGCTGCCCCCCACAAACCTAAACTCCAAATCTTTAAAACGTTTGAGCGGTCATTCATTTTCTCTATTTTATTGGAAAAACACCGCAAAAATTAATATGCGTTGCACTGTTAGCCACGACGAGAGAAACCACAAATTATTAAAAACTCTGAATGCCTGGCCATTATTGTATTATAACCAAAATAAACCTCATCATTGATATGATAACATTCTTTACAACTGCTAGTTTTCAGCAGACCATATCGAAGCACAATAAATGTACATTTAGTACACGATGTCCCATGTTGGGTCACAGTGGCCATTATGCCAACAGCTGCAACATCAGCAACTTTAACAAACAGCAAACCCATCCTATCAGGCTACTCTTCTCCTGCCAATTAACTGCTGGATGAAGCCTTCTCCATAACATTTCAGTGTCGGTGGTTGTGTGACCATACTTCACCACACTGGTAAATATGAGCTCGTGAAGGGATGGGGGAGCCTGGGACTGGTTCAAACATCACTCGCCACTTTTGTTAGCCATTGCCATAAATTTAACGCAATGTAAATTAACCATTATAAATTAACGGATTACTGTATCATCTCACAACCTCCACAATTCCCACCGGACCGGCTCCTGCCTAACATCTAACCCTAACCTATGCGTTTGATGGTAAGCGGCGATCTCCGGCCGTACCTGCAACTGCTTGATAAGCTTGGGGATGGGTCGCACGTTGAGCTTCAGGCAGGACTCCTTGTAGGCCGTGATGATGACCTCCACAGTAGCGTCCAAAGCTAAAAATATAACACCAAGGAGGGGGGAAGAGGGGCCGGCAACCGTGGCCTCAGAAAATTAACTTCCCCGATCCGCAGCCAACGACACAGAGGCTCCGCAATAATAAGCACTACGTTGCTACTGTTACATTACGTATCTAATTGTCTTATCTCACGTGGCACGCTCACCAGGGTCTCTCATGCAAAACGAATTTGGAAAATAAAAATAAGTTGGTTGTAAATATGAAAGGTTGATATGGAGCTGTGCTCTGCCTAGCGTGCATCTCTGCTGCAGAGCCAGTGGTGGAAATTCCCCATTTCTGTAGCTGTGTCCAGTCTCTCCGTTTGATGACCACTGTTCGCTTGAAGTGAGCGTAATAATAACAATCTGTATCGATATGAAAGATGACGTCAAAACAAGCAATGTTTATACAGAGCCCACATGCAATTCAGCTCACGTAGGCAAGTTTTTTTTTGTCCTAAAGTTGAAACTCGTTTTTTAAGTTCACAACAGGCATGGGATGGCAGGGCTACAGTATCAGACCAGCTGCTCTGTCCCCTAACCCCCGAGCATGACCAGTCAATTAATCGATTAACTCAATCAATCAATTATGTTAATTATTGATGTAGCGTGCCTTCAGGGTGAACTAAAGTACATGTACTCTAAAAAGACAAAAAATTCGAAGTTGATGGGCTGTAAAAAGTTGGTACGATGGAATTTAGGTTGTGATTAAACAGACGTTTTGGGTGGTGGCCCCTTCTCCAGGAGCCCAGTGCATAAAACTCCTGAAGTGTCTTTTTTAACTCAGTGTTCCATCTGAACCAAAGAGAGTTAAGGGCAATCATGTAAGTTGTTTTGTGCAATCGCACACGGAGACGCCCGCATCATAGTGGCAAGTGAAGTTACAGCACCGTCTCATTTCCTTGTCCAGGTACCATGTGGTGAGGTTTGAGTAAGGTCAACAGCGGCCCCAGCTCTAACCCTGATCCTGACAGTGCGACAAATCCCTAATTTGGCGACAACAGATTTGTAACACCAACTGTGAACTTGACGGTAACAATAACACACCGAGTGGGTGACACTTTCCATAACCCTGACCCAAACCCTAGCTCGGACCCAAACCCTAGCCCTGACCTTGACCCTAACCCCAACCCACACCATAACCCTGACTCTAGCCCGATTATTGCCCTCTAATTATTATTACCCAGCTTCCACGACTGTAACGATATTGCTTCCTACTCTGGCCAAGTCAATATTAATCCCCGATCTCACATTCACCTACCCCTCACCACCTTACCCTCATCCACTTCAGTCATGGCACTCACTCGCCATTACCACCTTGACCACACTTCGCCCATCTCCACTATATATTACTTACCCTCACCTATCTTAACCACCCTCACCTATCTTAACCACCCTCACCCACCTTATTCTCGCTCACCTCACGACCATCACTCATGACAATGACCCTTTGCACTCACCTACCCTCACCACCACCTCAATCACCCTGGGCTCTCTTCCAAACTCACGCCTGCACCCAGGTTGCTCATCCATGGTATTCACCCACCTCACACACTCATCCACCTCTCCTACTCTCACTATTTACCACTCATTTTACACGACCCATGGCACTCATGCACCTTCAGCCAGAACACCCACCACACAAGTATTCATGACACTATCCCACCTCAACACAAAACTCGCCCATCTCATCCACTCTCCCATCATGGGACTCGGGCATTATCACCACCAATCTCGCCACCACCCTCAACCGCTGATCACCACCTCACCCACCGTGCCTCCACGGGTCCCTGGGCTCCACAGCTCCCGACACGATGTCTCCGTCCTCCGGGAAAGAGACCCTCTTGGCGGGGAGCGCGGGCCTGGACGAGCCCTGGGGGTCCGCAACCCCGGCCGCCTCGGGGGTCTCCGTCTGCGTCTCCTTGCTGCTGTGCGTGGCCGCGGCCTCCTCCTCAACCACCACCTCCTCAATCATCTCAACCACCACCTCCTCGCTGTGTCCTTCAACGTAGCCGACGTCGTCTTGCTCATTATTGCCGTCGTTGTCTTCGTTGTTGCCGTCACCTCGACTGTTGTTGTTGTAGTTGTTGTCTACGGGGTTGTTGTTTTCGTGGTTGTTGTTGTCGGCGCCTTCGCCTCCTCGGGCCCCCCGTCCTCGCCTAGCTGGCCCTGCCGGCCTCGCGGCGCCGCCCGCCGGCTCGGCCAACAAGGCCGCATCGAGGCCCAACTCGGGCCCGTCCTCGGCACCGGCCATGGCTTCTTCTTCTTCACCGGCGCGGGGGCATCGGGGGTGGTGAGGAGGTGCTCGGAGCCACGACGCGGTGAGGGAAGACGAGGTGAAGAAACGAGGTGAAAGGGGGAGAGGAGCTCGCAAACACGGGATGCGGCCACGGCGGCCACAGCCGTCAAATATCCCCCCGACACGCGCGGTGCGCATGCGCGACACCCGGTTCCTGGGCACGCGCAGTGGAGGGATGAGGGGTTTGTTTACGGGGGGGGCGGGGGGGCGGGGGGATTGCCCCGCCCCTTGAAATTCAACGTGTCCCCGCCCCTTGAGGTTAGCCCCTCCCCTTAGGTGAAAGGTGACCCCGCGCATTGCAGGTAAGGCAATCAAGTGGCCCCTCCCTTGCAAGTGGGGGGGGGGGGGGGGGGGGTAGCCCCGCCCCTTCGGGGGATGAGCCCATGCCTTTAAGTGAAAATTGAACCAAATAACTAAACACGTTCGTCAATAACAAAATAACACCGTTGTATGGCCTATGGCCTTTAAAATAAATAAATAATATGCGACGTTTCGGCCAATGGGCCTTTAAAAACACAGAGTTGGTCCCACCCTTTAGGTTGTGTGGGAGAGTGGCCCCACCCCTTACGAACTCTCTTCACCCAAGGACGGGGGGTGAGGGTCCCCTACATAGCCCCGCCCCTCAGCTCCCCCCCAAACCCTGAGTCAACCCCGCCCTTCAACCCCTTGGCCCCCCAGTCTTGTAAATCCCCCCCCCCCGACCTCCCACAGCCACGTGGTTATGCGCCTGTTAATTTACTACGATGAGCCAAGAATGTCTGTGTGTCCCGCGCGTGACGTCACTCCACGTCGGCCAGCCCCCCTCATTAATACTCATGAACAGGTGACGTCCTCCGCATGGACCCCCACCCTCATTAATAATCATTAGCAGGTGACGTCACTCCACATCGAACAGCCCCCCACATTAATAATATTTTTACTGGGCAGACCTTTTATTGGTGGGAAAACCCACCACTGTCGCGGTCGCTGCCCACCACTTACATTAACAATTGGCTGCTGACATTTAGGCTACGCCCATTTCAAACCTTTTAAAAAAGTTTACCTTTAAAAGCTTACCCCCTCTTCCTGATGACGAACGCTTGTGTTGCGATCGAAACGTCGTAGTTTTTTTTTATTTTTTGTTATTTTCTTTGAACCTATCTACGTGACTTTACCGAAAGACCCAAAGAATATTCATAATCAAAAAGAGGTGACGTCTTCCAAATGGACACCCCCCACCCCAACATTAACATTAAATAGCGGGTGACGTCACTCCACATGGGGGGGCGAGGCGCCTCCTCCCCCCTCCTCGGCGTCAACTCACAACCCTCACTACAAAGGCAGAACCCTCACGTCACGCGATCTCCGTAACGCTGTTGAGACAAAGAAGTAAAAAGGACGTCATAATGAACAAGGGATTATAACCTTCAAATTAAATAGGTCTGTGTCACCGCGGCCTTACAAATTGCACACGAATTGATGCAATGAATATCACGTCGTGAGCTGATTTTCGCTTGCAAGTTTTAGATTTACTGCAATACACCCGTCCTTGGCGAGTTACTCTTAATTGGCTTCCTCGCGTAATTGTCCGGTCCCCCACACCTTCACGGGGGGGGGGGCAGCTCGGGGCTTTTCGCCCTCCAAATTCCGTGTGAGGGTTGCGAGCCAAGCGCTCACAGAGACCTCCCGGCCCGTCCAGGTGATTGTATAAATGATATGTATTAGGCGACGTTTCGGGCAATGGTCCTTCACAGCACATTGAGTAGCCAGAGAGGTAGAGTGAATCACGTGTAATCGAATCACCCTGAATACGTTTGATCAGCATCAGATCTCAGAAGCTAAGCAAGTGTTGAGCCTGCTTGGTCTCTCGGATCGGAGTGCCGCGGTGCATGGCGAGATGTTAATTACCTCACCTGGTATACAGGAGATCAAGGCCGTAGCCATGGAGTCAACATTGGGGGGACCAAATCTTCCAGGGTGTCTGGGGGTCATCCTCAGAAAAAAAATCTAAATTTGAAAAATAATTTCCTGCTTAAAATATTTAAAAATTCACTAACACATAGGATGGACTTTTGTATTTATTTTTTACAATAATGTCTAATAGTGTATTACATTGCTGTTTTTTTTTTCTTTTTTACCTTTTCTTGTTTCATTGTATGTAATGGCAGAGATTAGGGATTAATAAAATACAACCATAACCACAATCATATAAACTGAAATCTATGTATAGCAATATATATTATAATTACGGCCTTGCAGGAGATCGTCGGTTCAATCCCGACCCTGAAGCCAGCTGTATATTTGGAGTTTGCGTGTCTCTCTCCCCGTGGTCGCGTGGATTTTTCTCCGAGTCCTCCGGTTTTCCCCTCCACATGTTTAATCAACGTACGTTTAGAGTATTTGGCTGCTATCCATTTCCACGTGATAAGCCACTTCGTTGAGCTATCATTTGTGGCCAGGTCGCTTCTGAAAACGAGCTATACAGCTCAGTGGGCCTTACGAGGTAAAATAAAAAATAGTTATATAGTTTATAGGAGACTTTTAGGTTGGGAATCGAACGTGGCCAGGATATTGTAGCTGTAACCAGGAGGAGGTTGGTGGGATACGTGTGCAGGGTGAAGCGGGGCATGTTACCGAGATAGCCATTTGAGTGACACCCAGAAAGTCGGGTCAGTAACTAAGGGGAAGAGGAGAACTGGTGGTGACGTGACTGTAAAAACGGTCCTTGAAGGACCTGTCACCTCTGTTACAAGGGGAAACCTAACGCCAGAATATGTTAATGATACAGTCCTCGATTTACGAACCAGTTTCTATGAAATATATAACAAAAAATAGAAAACATTGATTTAAAACTCGTGCTTGCAATCTCATCCGTCAAACTATTTTGTTCATGGGAGCGATCCCCCGCGAGATGTTAATGAGTCGGCCTCACGTCAGGAATGAATGTTTGTGTATGTGTGTGTGCGCACGTGGGGAGCGGTAGTGTAGCGGTTATTAACGCGTTGCTCTATGAACCTGGCGACCCGGGTTCTATTCCCGCTCACGGCTAACACCAGTGACGATTATCTGAACCGTTCCTGGGCCTCCCCTAGGTCGACTCAGCCTTAAATTAGTAACTGGTGCGGTGTGTAAACATCGCCACTGGGGAGACAAAGGCGATCGGGCGTGGTGCTGGCCACCCACCCCCTCGTGTGCCGTTCCGGCCTTCATAGGTGCTCGCTAACAGCACTTGCCCCTACTGTCTGTTAAGGCCATACGGGGGGGTCGTTGCTGTTGGGGTGTGTGTGTGTGTGTTTGTGTGTGTTTGTGTGCCTTTGTGTGTGTGTGAGGGAGGAGCGTTGGTGTAGCGGGGTTGCGCGCTAAACTCGGCGACCCGGGTTTGATTCCCACTCACGACCAACACCGGCGACGATTATCTGAACCGGTCCTGGCACTCGCCTAGGTCGACTCAGCCTCAAATGAGCACGTGGTGTGTAATCATCGCCACTGGCGAGACAAAGGCGGTCGGGCGTGGCGCTGGCCACCCACCCCCTCGTGTACCGTTCCGGCCTTCATAAGTGCTAACAGCACTTGCTCCTACATTATGTCAAGGCTATAGGGGGGATATTTGTCTTTTGTGTGTGTGCGTGTGTGCGTGCTTCCGTGTATGTGTCCAATTGTGGTGACTCAATGCCCCCCTTCCGACAAGCAAGCGAGCATCATGACTCAAGGTAAGTGAAAATAAAAGTTTTTGTATTGTGTAACTTTTGTATTTACTGTACAGTATTTTACAGTGTTACATGCAAATGTACAATATTTCTTCTTAATTATGAGTTCAACAATGCTTTTGTTAAACCGTAACACATTTTCATAACACTGACCGTATAGGGCCATTTAAATACAGTGCATTATTGTCTTCTGACTTACGAATCGTCCGACTTACGAACGGGTCTCAGGAACGAATTAGGCTCGTAAGCCTATAGGACTGCCCGAAATGGATATTCCCAGGCGTTTTACGGTATCTAGGGTTAGACCAGGGGTCGGCAACCAAAATAAAAAGAAGAGCCTTTTTTAATTCGGTAAAAAAACACTCAATATTTCAAGATCCGCGATGCATACGATACGGTGAGATCCTTAATAAATAACTGTCACGAAGTAGTCCTTAGAGAGTATGAGTCCTTAGAGAGTATGAGTCCTTAGAGAGCCGCATGCGGCTCTGGAGCCGCAGGTTGCCGAACCCTGCGTGAGGCTGAGAGGTGGCCGGGAGGACTAGTGCACTACTATTATCGATATGAGCGGAGCTTAAAGTGGTATTGGTCGCGAAAACCTACGTGTTAAACTGGTATCCCCTCGTATACAGCGTGGCAACGTTTTTTTCCCGGGCCCTCTGCTTACCTCCCATTAGAAGCCAAACTCTCAACAATGAATTTATTGGGAGTCGTTTTTTCAGCTATGGCAGGTAACCGGAGAACCCGGACGAAATCCGTGCAGGAAGGGCGGAGAACGTCCCCACTCCACACAGATAGGCGCCCTAGTCGGGAATCGAACCCAGACTCATGTTGTTGTGAGGCACAAGCGCTGCCACCCTGCCACCCTGCCACCCTGCCACCCTGCCACCCTGCCACCCTGCCACCCTGCCACCCTGCCACCCTGCCACCCTGCCACCCTGCCACCCAATAAATGGGCATAAATAATGATATTATCATCCACAGCACCATCTCTGGCCCGGTCTAAACCTGCGTTCCATGAGGAAGCGCGCTGACCCCGCCATGAACTCCACTGAACTCCGCAGGGGGGCACTGGCGAGATGCTTGGGGGAGATTGGGGGGGAGGGGAATGGGGGAGAGAAGAGTAAACACTGCATTAACAGCCATAGCATCATCATCCGCAGCCGCCATTCACCGCTAAGCGCGTTGATGTTACCAGGGCGCTGATGCCAGGCTCGGTGCACACTTTGAGGCTATCACGTGAAGTTTGGAAAGCTCACTGCTATAAAGTCACAGGACAGATTCAAACGATATGCGTTGACTGCCTGAAATGACTGGCAGATGCACCCAGCGCCTGCAATCACCTGCACTGTGCCATCCTGCTGTATTACAGACAGAGGAGAACTGCAGAGTGAAGCGAGAGGACGGGAAAGAGACGGAGAGAGATTAGATCATAGAAAGCATGGGATGCACAGATTGGTGACAG